GGTGGAGATGCTGCAGGACCAGGCGCAGTGCATCCTCGCGGACTACGTGCGAACTAGGTACACCCGCCAACCCACGAGGTAAGATGCAAAAATGTTATTACGCAAAATATGTACTTATACTAGGACCTACAGCCCCGTCGCTGAGTAGTCTGTAAAAGATCGCTACCTAGCGATAAGACCGCCTTTTTTCGACTGGAAAATGCATGAAACTGCATAGATACTTACTCACCAGCCCGGGGGAGCCGATGAGTTATGTGGGGATCCCTCGCCAGAAGAGCTTTTTCAATTTTCCGATTCCCAAATACGATGGCAATTTCCATGATCAATCCTCAGTTTTCACTATCAGTTTCATTTCTTAACGTACATACATTTACATTATACGATTTAATGACAACAGAATTTTTATTAGTGCCATTTATTAAGTAAGAGGATAATATAGTCGTGGGGTAAAAGTTGTACCTATTGCATTAATGATACCTACTTCTTTAATCATTGTCAAACTTTCAGGTTCGGTCGTCTACTCCTCCTCCTGCCATCTCTCAGAGCAGTCCGCGCGCGCTCCATCGAGTTGCTGCTATTCCGCGAGACCGTTGGCGACGTCTCAGTGGCCACCCTGCTTCACGACATGTACCGTATGCAGCCGGCCCCTGCCCCACCCTTCCATCCTGCACCACCGGCCACCTCTAGCGAACACTGTGCTTCGCCATAAACCAACTTAGAATACATATAGGTCGTAATTAAGTACCTAAGGAATAACGTCTATCCTATCCGTTCGCTTTAAGTTTGCCGCTGGCGATATGATGTCACTCGAAGGGAAGCGTCTATAACTAAAACAAACTATATTTAAAATATATATGTATTTGCGTAAAATAAGACACATTAATTGCGTTTAATCACTAACTAATTGCGTTAAATCGCGGTTGGGGGAGGGGGGACGCGCATTCCACGGACCGGCAAACTTAGCGCGAACGGGTAATAGGTACGAGGGCGGCACTGAAAATTTCGGGAATCAAGGAAGTGAAACAACATTACTATTTAAAAATGTATCTNACGGGTAATAACTACAAAATAATGTTTATCACCTTTATGTTATTAAATTGGCGTCTAACCACAGAATAATAAGAATATGTACCTACAGGACATACATAAATGCGATATGCTTATTTATGATTTCTCAATCAATCAACATAAAATGTCTTATAGAATTTCAAGGTAAAAGTTATCTTTGTGTGACCAATTAGTTGCAATCATTATTCAGTAGGACAATACTATGATTAACATATCAAACCATGTCATTAAATAAAATAATCAGGTTATACAGCATGGCACTTATAAATAATAAATATTTCCTTGTTAATTCTAGTCTCTAACGTTCTAGTCATTGTAAATTGTAAATGTTACTGTAAGTAACTTATTACTTGTTTATAGTAGCAATTGTAATAAGTAGGTATTTCAATAATATTAATTAGATTATAACTATGTCTACGAAAATTATTATAAACAGCAGTCACTTCTAGATCTGTGTTTTGCACTGTAAATAATATAATGTATTTATGAGAGTTTGACATCAAATGTTACATTATTGTATGTATTAAAATATTGTTCTTGATTGATGAGAATGGATAATTAAATATAAAACACCCTTTACAATATTTATTTTATTTTAGTCAAATGAACCAATTTCATACATTGACAATAAATCTCAATATAAAAGAGTTCTTTGAAACAACACAAGTTTTAAAATAAATTCAAGACCAGTTTATCAGAATATCACACCAATAAGTTCATCCAGTCATGTTCACTTTGCCCATTGATTGAATAGCTTCCACGGTGGAGAGATCAACTGAGTCGTCTTCATCTGTTTTCTCTTCTTGTGGCTCTGGGGCCTCTTTTTTAGGTTCGTTCTTGGGGAAGTCCAGTTTGCTCCATGCTCCTGGTTCAGCTTTCTTCAGTTTGATCTCCAATTTTGTTGGCAGCATTGATGCAGCACTTTCTTCAACACTGACCACCTGAAAAATAATTGTGATGCATAAGAAGAATGTAATACAGTATCAAATGACCCTCCTTCTGGCGCAGTCGGGTAAAAAGTAATGACTCTCAAGAAACTATCTAATCCTAACAAGTCTGCAAATCCCACTGTATTTATTTATTTATTCTTAGTGTCACAAGTACATTCATTTTACAGAATAACTCAGAATGACACACAAGTATACATCTATTTGATGAATCTCTTCACCTTATTAATAAAACATTTAATATATTTATGAATTGAGTAGTGAATAAAACTTACGCCTCTCAGTTCAATATCCAGTTCAAACGCTGCATCACCTTCTTCTCTAAAGACCAACTTTGCATTCAGACGAATAGGGTTCAGTTTCACAAAACTAAGAGTCGGGTCATATTTCTTGGCATATATGCTCACAATAACTAGATCGCCAGTCTGATGCCAGTCCCAGCGACACTGCACTGTGCCAGCAGGAGTTGCCTATAAACAAGAAAGTATTGTATTATCACTGAAACTTATTGCTGAAAATTTTTATTATATTTTATGTTGTACACAAGATAATTTTATACTATGTACTCTCTCATACAACACACAGCACAATTGGCAAGGTTTATTTTATTATATCATCAAATAAGATGGTATGTCAACATACTTCCTTGAACCACTTATGAGTGCCAGTTGTACAGCCAGGCTGACTAAGAAATGTGTTGAAGTCTGTCGTTCTCTTTTGACAACAGGACCAATACTTGAGACCTTCGTGAAACACTGGGCATCCCGGGTGATATGTGCACATGGTACCGTCAGTCTGGGGACCTTCATATGACATGTTACAGCCACCATTTTTGCAAATTGTACCAATAGCAATAATACTGAAACAGGATTGTATATAAGTGTCTTCATTCTAAAATACACAGATATTGAGAAGCTGATGATGACGGTAAATGCAGAAAATTATAATAAATTAATATCGAGTGCAAAAATGACATTTGATAATAAATAAATGAAAAAGGTACCCATCCTCAGGAGTAACTGGTTTCTGTGCAGATTTCTGAACACTTTCCCTCAATGCATCAGCAATGCTTGCTTTTAATGTAACCATAGGTGAATCAAACGGTGGCCGTGGTAATTGAGGGCCGGTGACTGGAGGTCTCCTTTCTATAACCTGTTGTTTCTCCAAATCCTTATCTAAAGGTTTCTTTACTGGTTCCGGTGGTTTCTAAGAAATAAAATAGTTTATTTATACACAGTAATTTGTAACCATGGCAGCATAAAACATGAAAATAAAATTAAATAAAAAACATACCACATTAGAATGTTTGGACGTAGTGCAGCCTTTAATGTTCAGAAACTCAGTGAAGTCTACACTTTTCTTATTGCAGCATGACCACCCTTTGTATGCGTCGTGGAAGACTGGAGCACCAGGATGATGACAACATTCATCTGTTGATTGAACATTTTTAAATGTTTTCACTTGAACATGGGTACACTACAGCACTTAACTTTTAGAAATAAATAAGTGATAACTGGTAGGTATTATTAATTTATTTAAAGAGTTATTGAACACCAAAAATAAGAGATAGATATAGGTTACAGAAATTTCCAGAACATACGCACCTTTATCGTTTTTATTAGGGTCGAAAAGCTGCCCACAGCCGCGATTATAACATTGGAGCATATCTTTATTTTCAGGCATTTACAATCTTTAAAAAATTAACGTTGAAATTGGATAGGTAAATCTTTTGGCTCAAAATAGCTCTCGCAAACAGCAAACGAGCACAAGCAGACCAAAGCAGACCACTGACAGAACTTGACAGAAGTGACAGAAGAAACAAAACCAAGTGACAACTACCCAACAATAGGCGAGTGATGTTCACTACTCGATAAGTAGATGACTATTCGATCGATAATCAATTTTGTTTGTTCTAATACAAAGTCCAAATAATACAAAATTAACCACTTCTTCTGTGTCGTCCGTCGCCAATCATCAATCCAGTTTCTATCTCAAAATACAAAATAAACCATCATACTAAATAAAGTTAAATAAATATGTATTCGTTTTGTTAGTTCAGTGTGTGTGATAGACTTTTAATTTCAGTGTTTATTAAATGGGAATGGGAATGGGTCAGCTAGTATTATGATAAAATAAGTTGATTTAGCGATTAACTTGTAGGTTTATTTAAACAAGATAATTGAAACAAAATAATAGTAAATATTTAACATAGGGTGTCCGGCGCATGGTTTGACAAACGGAAATAGTGAAGTGGTGGGGTCATATGTTATGTACTCACGCCCAACAAGTTTGACATTTCTCCACGGTTTCTTTTTAATGAATATTATATTGAAAAATTAAAGAAATATCAAAATTCACCTCTTAAACCCATAGATATCCACAAAATGACAAGTAAACTGTGCCAAAGCTATTTTGTTCTGTTGTAGAATGTTGTTTTACTTACAACAAAATAGCTAAGGAACAACTTTCTTGTCATTTTGTGGATATCTATGGGTTTAAATGGTGAATTTAATATTTCTTAAATTTTTCAATAAAACTCATTTTAAAAAAACCGTGGAGAAAATATGTCAAAATTTTTGGGCGTAAGTACATAGCATATGACCCCACCACTTCACTGTTTCCGTTTGTCCAACCATGCGCCAAACACAAAATATTTACAAAATAACAATACGATGACATAATATTAACTTTACCTTTATTTTAAACCTCCTTCGATATCGACAAAAGTAAGATAACTTTACTAATTTGTTTTTTTTTTTCAAACGACTTTCAACATCACGGATTGAAGTACATTATATTTGCTCCACAATTTTATAAACCATTATAAGGACTTCTTTTTAAATTAGTTGGTAACTGTAACTGTCAATTTTTTTTAGTTATACGATAGGCCTGCTGTTACAACTTATTATTATAATTTTTATGTATTGTATTTGGTTNTTGTATTTGGCAACACTCATATTTTTTTTTGTAATGAATAGATTTTGTTCGTGTGTGGGCGTATTTTTGGAGATAAAATTTATTGAGCTGGAATAATAAATTTTTACAGTGAAATGTAGATCAAGCAGTCTTGTAAAATAATATCTTTATGATGTAGTTTGTTAGGCAGTCGTGTTTTAATTTTTAAATATAGAAAAATGTTTCGCTGCTGCATATGTTTTTAATTTATTTTCCATTCAACATTCAACAAAAATGTAATACTTATTATTTATCACTTCAATAATTAAATGATGTGTGTTATTTTGACTCTTTGGTAAAGTTAGTGAGTGTTCGTCATGAATCTGATGCGTAAATTGCGTGGTGCGACCGCTTCGTCGTCTTCGGAGTCCTCGGAAGCCAGCAGCTCATCCTCTCATGTACAGCTGGGTCTCATGCACCTCAAAAAACTCTTCTCGGAGTACACACATCCCCCCCAGCCCTTGTCCGAAGCAGAGAAAGATGACAAATTGTATAATATGCTACCACTTTTTTGTAAGGTAAGTTTTCTTTGATTCTAGTTGAATAATATTTAAAATAGTTCCCATTAAGTTCTGTGAAAAGTTATTACACAATTATTAAAATAATGTTTAGTTTCTGCTTATATTATTTTTTTGAGTAATTTAACAGTCTGGGTCGAATATCTCCTTTAAATAATACTAGATTCAATAGGTACTCAAAAGATTTTTTAAGACAAACACTAAGTATAAACAAATCTATTCAAATATAGTATGTACAAATAACAAAACTGTTTTAATTTCCATTACGCTAGGTGTTCGGCACTAGTCCTTCCAGTGAAATGAATGAGAAGTTTTGGGATATACTGTCATTCTGCCAACAAGTTTCCAAGCTTATGGTGTCAGAGATCCGGAAAAGGGCCAGTAACCAGAGCACGGAGGCAGCTAGCTGTGCAATCGCAAAGTTCCTCGAGATAGAAAACTCGGAAGAGTCTAGCAATGGATGGATGTTGTTATCCACTCTAAATTTGTTGGCAGCTGGTGACCAATCACTCATTCAGGTATTTTTATTAGAATCTAATATGTGTTTACTATCTCATTCTTTACTGTGCAATCTATTTGTTGTTTTGATTTTTATCCAACAGTTAGGGTGGGTTGCACTTGCACCATCTTACTTTAACATTAACAAACGCCAAAAATCTGTCATACTCCATACAAAAAACAGCGGATATTGTCAAAGTTACAGTACAAGTTAGATGGTGCAACTTAGCCTTACTCAATGTTGCTAGTAGTTCATCAGTCAAGTTACAAAGTTTCCTAACAAGGAAACACAATATATTTCTTGTATATTTTACCTGTTGCAGGTTATGACCACTGCTTCCATACCTTCAACCTTAGTTAAATGTTTATACCTGTTTTTTGATCTCCCTGAAATACCTGAATCTGAGGCGGACCTTCAAGATGGTAATAGTGACTTTACTCCTAGAGAAAGGCGAATATTACTTCAGAAAATATTTGTGCAGGTGAATGTTATTTGAATACTTACATAATTAATTAGTTAATTGTGTTGACTGATATTTTTTTATGTAATTGTAATGTGTAATCACCTGTTAAATAAGTGGCAACCTAGTTGATAAAATGATGTAGAAAAACTGTTTAGTATTAAAACTGCAATTTGGATTAGGATTGATTGGACTGAATTATCAATTTTTTCTTGGTTGTAAACATAAGATATAATAATAATGTTATATCCTTTTAGGTACTGGTAAGATTATGTAGCCATCCATTTCCTTGTGAGGAACTAGCGAGGAAAGACGATCTCAGCCTATTGTTCTCTGCCATTACATCATGGTGTGCACCGCACAACATTATGTGGCGCAAATCGGCCGCGGAAGTGCTGATGACCTTATCTAGACATGGTCTAGCACAGTCCGTTGTCCAATACATTCACAGTAAGTATAATATGCAGTTGTATAGAAATAGAAACAGATTAGTGTGTTTGTGTTTTGTTATGATGATTATTAGGTCTTGTGACCTTTAAACTACTTGATGCTAATTTAATGGTGTAATTTCAGATAAGGGATGTGTAGCACTATGCATAGAGAATATGCAGAGAATTCCAGAACTTACTCCCTTAGAGGTATTTAAACTATGATATTAATACGAGGTGTGGCTATTAAATAACGAGACTGACGCTGCTACAGGAGAAGTGCGCAAGCGCCGAACGCCAGCAACCAACAGCTGTTAGCGTGAAGCCTTCTCTTTCGAATGAAGTGCCTCTCGCTTCTGTAAACAAATCAGTATAGCCGTAGCCTTCGTTCGCATTAGAGTTGTTTTTTTGTTTCGCCGGAAAAATGTTAAGTGTAACAGTATCTAGCAACGAATTGTTGTGAAATTTCATTTGAAACTTGAAAAAACCGCTACTGAAACTTATAATTTATTGAAAGAAGTGTATGGCAATGAATGTTTATCGCTTGCACGTGTTTTTGAGTGGTTTAAGCCTTTTTTAAATGGCCGAGAAGACGTTCAAGATGATTCACGCCCGGGTCGCGCCTCCACGTCAAAAACGGATGACAATATCGAAAAAATCGGTAATCTAATTCGAACTGACCGTCGGTTAAGTATTCGTGGCATTGCTGAAACTGTACGAATTGATAAAGAATCCGTACGGCAAATATTACATAACAATTTTACACATGCAAAAAGTGTGTGCCTAAATGGTGCCTAAATTTTTCACTTTTGAACAACTAGAAGCTCGCAAAAATCTTTGTACTGACACTTTGAATGCCTTATTCGCTGGATCTTGCGTTGTACGACTTCTATCTGTTTCCTAAGCTGAAATCTGCATTAAAAGGAACAAGATTTGAGTCTGTTGAAACCGTGAAAGAGAAAGCGGCACGCGTCTTGGAGGAGCTGACAGAAGAAGACTTCCAGCACTGTTTCGAACAATGGAAGATTCGCATGGAGCGTTGTAGGGATAGAGGAGGGGTGTATATTGAAGGTGATAATAAGTAAAAAAGTATGAAATCAAAATAAAATGTTTTACAGCGTCAGTCTCGTTATTTAATAGCCACACCTCGTATTTTTTTAAGGAATAAAGTTGTGTGGTATGTTATTATACTGTGTAATGTTTTCTCCTCAGGTGGTAGAAATGTTTGTTGCAGTATTCTGCTTCTTAAAAGATTCAAGTGATGTTAGTCAATTACTATTGGATGACTTCCGGTCATGCCAAGGATATTTATTTCTTTCGGAGTTTTTACTGAAGTAAGTCAATAAAACAATTATTTGTAAATCAAAGTAAATAGTTTATAGCATGAGCATGTGATGTGAATAGATTTTACAGATTTTTTGTTTGATTTTGTTTACACTTTTATGTTTTTGTATCACAGACACGAAAGGCAGGAAGTGCCCGATTATTTGACAGAGTAAGTATTTGTTCACTGTTTTAATACACCCTGGCTTACTTAGTATTTTGATATTATGTTGCAATATTTGAATGTGTAGTTTAGAATCAATTTTCATATTTATTACATTCTGACATTAACATATGATTCATATACTTAAACTGAGGTTAACATAAAATGAATCATGGATAAATAGATTTACTTATTACCACTAACTTCAAACTCAAAATAGATGTCTATTCTATTTGTTGTATATGAAAACTTTACTCTAATTATTTTTCCTTATTTGTGCCATGATATTTACTCTAGAATATTATTTAAATTTACTGCTACATACCATTAAAATGATATAAATATATCAAAGTTATAATAATAATATCGCTTAAAAGCATAAGGCTCAGACTACGTAGCGTCCCGGACGAATAATTACGGACTCGTTTACGAATTTAATGCCCATTTACAGTGGCGTAGCTTGGGGGGGGCAGGGGGGGCCATGGCCCCGGGCGGCATATGAAAGGGGGCGGCGGATAAGAAAAAAAACATTGCATGAACAAGAAAAAAAAGGTCGACTATGTCTACGTTGAGACTAACAAATCTAGCTAAACTGGCAATTGAAAATGAGATACAATTTGATATCGACGATTGTGTAAAAGATGTTGCTTTTAAAAAAGCACGAAGAGTACATTTTTAATCTATTTTTTTAAGTAATAGTAACAAAAATATTTAAGGAGCTTACTTACCCCTCTAAAACTTGCGCCACNGCCCCGGGCGGCGAAAAGCCACGCTACGCCACTGCCCATTTAATAGATTAGCTGCTTTGAGATTTTCCAACATGACTGTAGTCTGAGCCTAACTTTATAATATTTGCAAACAAATGGTTTCTAATGACAACATTATCGCCTAGACTCGAAGAAGAGCGCGTAAGCGGCACCGAAGCGCGTGCGGCGCTACGCAACTTGGTGTTGATGATATCGTCTCTGTGCGCCTGCGGCTTTTCCGAGCTGCGGCCCACGCGAGCCAATACTGAGCTGTTTCAACTACAGGGCTTCGTCTTGCCGCAGCCTTCCACGCCTGGGCAGGCGGTGCGGAATGTGCAGGCGTTTCAGGTACCTATAACTTTTAAACAACTCATTGTAGATTTTTTCAACCCTAATGTAAGTTAATAGAGTTCATAAAGTTTACTGATTCTAAAGTTGTATGTAGCGGCATATGGTCCTGAAGGTTTATATGAATGCCTACGATTTTATAGGCAGTGCATTACAGTGAAGATTAATCGTGACCACATTATGTGTTTGTTCAAATATTTATTGTGTACAATACCGTGCCGTGTAAGCGTGCCATTTTCATAAAGTTAGATAGATGATAATAGAAAAAGATAATAAATAAAGTCTAGTGAGTAGGTTTGGGGTAAAATTAGGTAAAATACGCAGTTTATAGTAAGAATCGATATCTTGTTTCAGGTTCTACAATCGGTTTTCATGAAATCGAATTCGGCTGCGCTATGTTGCACGATACTAGACGCGATATCCAGCGTTTACCACGCTGATAATGCGAACTACTTCATACTAGAAAACCAAAACACATTGAGTCAATTTTCGGAGCGGATCCATACGAAAAACGCGGAGATTCAAGAGAAGTTCTTTGAACTGCTCGAGTTTATAGTATTTCAGCTGAATTTTGTGCCCTGTAAAGAGCTGATATCGCTGTCCCTGTTACTGAAAGCAAACAGGTCGCGTACTTGCAGCATATTGTGTATGAAAACATTACTCAACATATTGAAGTAAGTAATTAGATCTTCAAGTGTTTCCTTTCATTCACCAACACCATTACTCGTAGAATAAAAAGAAAATATTATATTTCTTTACCTTTTTTTGCAGACATAACCCAATTTTCAAAGACGTATACCGGGAAGTAGGAATGCTTGAAGTGTTCGTCACTTGCTTATCTCGATACGCCGTTTTCCTCAAAGATAAACAGTTGCTAGAAGAGGAAAAGTCTAAGAAAGACGCGGCTGAAGTGAACGGGTCTCCGAAAGCCCCCGAGAGGAGAAAGAGGCTGTCTTCTAGACAGGACTCGTTGATAAAGGACCCTAATATTGATGCAGAGGAGGAGGAGCTTGGTGGTTTGTTGATGGAGGGTTTGACAGCTCTTTTGAATGGAAACACGAGCAATTGTAACGTGTTCCGAGATTGTGGCGGCGCTAAATGCGTCCACGGCATGGTGGTTCACGAGTCTTGCAGGAGCCAAGCTTTAGGTGAGTTATTGATTATCAAGTGTTTATGTCCGTCCGACTTGTTTCTGGAGTCCTAAACTAAAAGTCGTATGTTTGGTCCGCGCCCAATACAAACATACACATAGGTATCTGTATGGTAAGGGGTAGTCTATGTCAGTATTTATTTACCTAAGTTTAGATAAAAATAAAAATGTATTACAGTAATCTCTTGTTTGAAAAATTTGATTAATGTAGTGATTTAGTACACATGGCTTTACTTAGTTTTGGGCTAAATGTCACTGTGTTCCAATCTCCATGGATTTATGGATTTATTATTATCTTTTGTATTGTACATTCGTTGAAGATTAATGCATTTTCTTGTATTCTTAAGGTGTGATCCGAGAGCTGATAGTGAGTGGCAGCGGCGAGGAGGACATGTCGGCGTTACTCTGCGGAATGCACGCGGCGCCCAACGACGCTCTCCAGCTCAAATTGGACATTTTGAAGGCGCTGTTGGCATGCTTACGGGACTCGCACCGAACTAGAACTATTTTTAGAAAGGTATTGGAACTGTGAAATGTACACATATGCAATTGTTTTAATCTGGCTTCTACCAACCGCGCGATGTGGAAATCATTGGGTGACGACGTCCTGTGGCTAAAATGATGATGATGATGAATTTGGCTTCAATTGATAGAAAAAAAGTGGGCTTCTTTTTACCACACGCACAACTGTGAATGAGCCAATATAAAGGTTAAATTCATAGTAAGAATTAAAAATCCCTTAAGGCTCGTATTTTTAAACAAATTCAGGACTAGATTCAATCTCGAGCACATATTCAAGCCTGCGATTGGTTGAATTTCAATATTTGAATGAATCACAGGCTTAAGTCGATTTTCTAATATCATTTTATACTTATGCGTCCTTTCATCATCATCATCATTTCAGCCATAGGACGTCCACTGCTGAACATAGGCCTCCCCCAATGCTTTCCATGTTGATCGATTGGTAGAGGCCTGCGTCCAGCGCTTCCCTGCTACCTTTACGATGTCGTCGGTCCTTTCATAATACGATCAAAATATCTAATCTGTAAGAATTATCTGATTATCCTTGACTGGCTGAGAATGCTTAAATAGCATTAAGTCCGCCTTTTGTACGATTTTATTATGCAATAAAGTTTTATAATAATAATAGACGTGGTCGCTTACTATGGGCCTCATAAGAAGGCTCAAGGTCACCCAAAGGGCGATGGAGCGGGCTATGCTCGGAGTTTCCCTGCGTGATCGAATCAGAAATGAGGAGATCCGCAGGAGAACCAAAGTAACCGACATAGCTCGCAGAATTGCTAAAATCAAGTGGCAGTGGGCGGGGCACATAGCTCGTAGAGACGATGGCCGTTGGGGCAGGAAAGTTCTCGAGTGGCGACCACGGGCTGGAAGACGTAGCGTGGGCAGGCCTCCTACTAGGTGGACAGACGATCTGGTAAAGGTCGCGGGAAGAGCCTGGATGCGGGCAGCGCAGGACCGTTCATTGTGGAAAACCTTGGGGGAGGCCTTTGTCCAGCAGTGGACGTCATTTGGCTGAAAAGAAAGAAGAAAGAATAATAATAATTCTGCAGGTGAGCGGGTTCGTATACGTGACAAGCGTGCTAGTCTCGCTCGAAGGCAAATTGAAAGGCGAGGGGATGGTTGACCACGACATGCTACAGCTGATACACATTGTCTTTTACACCATCAGCACCGCCATGCGGTTCGAACCGGCAAACGCGAAGTTTTTTCATCATGAGGTTAGTTCATTTGGTTTTTTTACTGATAAAATATTCCATTCATTCACATAATTTCTTCTTCTTTTTCTCTTTTATGACTTGAGTTCATTCTTAACTCAAATGTTCCAGATTTGCATGACAACTCTTTCTGATACAATACGGCTCTTGGGATGTTTCACTGACGATTTAGAATTGCTAAACGACACTGAAAACGGAGACCCAGAATTGTATGAAGTGTTCCATGAAATTTTTACTGGAAACATTATGGAAATGACGTGAGAAATGCATTAATTTTATTGCTATTTCAATGTTTCTTTGTGTTTTGATATTTTTACTAACTTTGTACATATTTCTTTTCAGTTTTCCCGAAAAAGTACCAATAGTATTCGTACATGCGTGTATTGTGTTGCGTCTACTTTACGACGTGGCTCTCGACTCGTTTGACAAGCCGACGTTTTGCGGATCTCTGAATGTCAAATCGCCAAGTTTGACGAGGCAGAGTTCGGCAATCAATGAGGTATGCTAAAAATTTATTTATCTAAGAAACCTACCGATACCTAAATATTATAAACGTCTGCACGTCAAGCCATACACTGTGGGATTTTATGTAGTTGTAATAGAGGTGATTTTCAACAAAAATGTGTAACTTCTGATATGCTATTGTCTGTACTTGTATAAAATGTTGCTAAAAACCTATTTTTTTCCCCAATGTTGTGAAATTTTTGGATTACCAAATGACACCACGAAGAAAGCCTTTGACAGACCTACAGAAAGTCACGTAACTGATCTTATAAGATTATCTTTTTCAAAATTTTCTATATATTACTATTTTCAGAGCAAGCCCGCCGGTCGCACGGCGCCTCTCAACTTATCCTCCGGCGGTACGGCGGGGGAGGCGTGGGTGATCCATTCCGGCGTGGTCATTGTACTGGCGAAGCTTCTTCCGGCGTTGCCGCGCCCGTCGGAACACGAGGCGTACGGGCGAGCGATACGGGATTATCTTGCGCATGTTTTGAAGAGTTTAGTCCGAAGGTAAGTGATAGATCCACTTGGATGTAGTAATCGCAGTTATAAAGCTTTTGTTCACTCAAACATAAGGCGTTGGTACAGGAGAACAATACAATACAAGGCTATATTAAAAAGGTTGGCCGAGAGAAAGTCTATAGTACATCTTCAGGCGCCAACCTAGTGACTAGTTTTCCTATTGCATTTGCACTCACCAGTTTGGCGCGTGTAAGTTGCGCTGACTAGTGAGAAATATGGTAGGGGCTCATTGCGTATAATTATAGAGCTAGAGAGCGTGTTCTTTTAGAAAAGTTGGAACCAAAATCCAATAGATGTACGTATGTCTTAGGCCCAGAACAGACTGTGAAACGCAACTGCAACGAAACTGCAACTTTGTGATGATTCTGATGAATGAAACTGAAACTGAAAGTTTCAAACTGGTCGCGTCATGTGTGGTCTCTCAACGGACGCTATGGCAGAAACTTAGATGCAACTCAAAAGTAACTAGCAGTTGCAGTTGCGTTTCACCGTCTGTTCTGGGCCTTACAATCGGTGTGATAAATAAAATTATTGTTTTGTTTTCCCAGCGAACGCAACCAGCAAGTGATGTGCGGCGCGGGGCTAGCAGGCGTAGTGCTTCGAGTTTGCGGCGCCGCGTTACGCGCAGAAAAGCACCCGTTGCATGCGCCCGCTATGTACATGTTAGAGAGGCTCGCTGCGCACGCGCTCAGGCCCATCGAACTAAGGTAAGGACTAAGGCCCGGTTTTTTGATTCGTAGTTAAAATAACCAATAGTCAAATTTGACAGATGTCAAGTGACAAGTGGTTAAATATCAGAAAAAAATGTTTTTCGAACAATGGTTAGCTTGACTTTTAGTACATTTTTTAACTATTAGTTAACATTTTGTTAATATTTAACCATTAGTAGCAAAATTTAACAATTTGTTATTTTAACTATGAATCAAAAAACTGGGCCTAACTCAGTGTAATTAAACTTAGATAAGAATTATTGGTGACTCAATTCTGCAGCGTTCTGCAGGCCGATCGTACTAAGATGACATTTTCTAATAACTCAGTAGGTAAGCGATTCAGAACCTAATGCACACATTTAAGCCCGTTCTGCAGTCTCATACAAATGAACGTAAATAATAACTAGTTTAGATTTTGTGAAAATGTTTGATCTTATTTTTATGCTCTTTATTGAACATGTTTTATTTTTTTCACAGAGAATTCCTGCGCATGGGAAATCCCCTGAACTGTGTATCCCCAGAGCAAGGTCAAGTTTGCAAGCCCGGAGGACCTGTGCCTCTTACAAGGATCAAGACTTTAGTGTCTATGACAACTCCTAGAGATTACAGGTATGTTTATGGAACATATTATGAAGCATGTCAGTTTTAAATTGACAGTAAGTCCGTATTTATATGTATTTTTAATTGACAGATCTCAAAATTCGTGCACGTTACCTCCGTTCGTCGAGTTTGATATGTCTGCCGAAGGCTTCGGCTGCCTATACCTACCCAGTATAGCGCCGCAGTCTGCCAACCTGAACGCTTTGGGCACGCAAGATAACGCTACTCTTGGAGGCATTGGATCAGGTATGAATCTAGTACGCGGTTAGCAGACGACCCGAGGGGAACCACCAAGCCGGAAGAACTCGCCTAAGAGCGAGCCGTAGCCTGAGACGGAGCCGCGGACGAATGTCCAATTTTAGGACAATAACTTGCGGCTTCGTTTCACTGGCTTTGGAGGACACGCTTTAGTGCCCGCCCTCCTGGCGTGAAGAGTCCCACATAACCCACTGACTGTCCCTATCGGCCAGTGGGTATGCACAAAGCATTTCCCGACGAAAAAAAAGGATCATTTATGAAGTGTTGGTCACTAGTTTTAGCAGCATAGGTATTTTTTTTATCCGTCGGAAAATGTTTTGAACATATCCTTTACAATATTTTAGCTACACCAGAGTAGCACAAAAACTTATTGATTAGGTTACTTTTTATCGAGCAGACGAAGCCAAGAGTAAAAGTTACTTAAAATAAAAATGTCTACTTCCACAGGCGACAGGGTGTTCCCGCCTCAAACCGGCCTGACCTACTCCACCTGGGTCTGCGTGGAGAAGTACTCGGACCCTCGTAACGATCCGCATTGCGTGCGTCTACTGACGCTCGTGCGGAACCTCAACAACAGCCGCGACGAGCATCTGGTCTGCCTCACTGTGGTGCTGTCAGCGAGGGATAAGGCTATTATCGTGTCTACGCAGGAAACGCTGGTGCCCCATAGTAAGTGTATAATGTAAAAAAGAGCTTAAGAAATGGTATAGCGCCTTCTGTGTAATCAAAGGAAGCTGAATTGTTTACAACTGTGTAACTGATTCAATGTCGGAGCTCGATAAATGTATATAGAGTCAGTAAATTATGTCATTTTTGGCAGCTTCAATTTAGTTTCCTAAGGTGAAACATAGCGTGTATCGACATTGCGAGGCTGGCAGCTAGCTTTGTGTGAGAGGGATGGAAGGATCCTTTTCTTTGAAAAGATTGGAAGTAGCCTAGGCATCGTAGTGTTATAATAAGGCTCACGCAGCGTGGCACCTCGCTTCCAACAAGGAAGTCCTGGTCGCCTGGCTGTTACCCCGATCAGGCTCACACAGCGTTATTCCCCCGTGTGGACTTATCAGACGTGGGGGAGTGGGAGCCCGAGGGCTCGGGCAAGTGGGCCGTGCTCGAGAACTAGTCTTTATCTTCATTTCAATTAGGCTTACTTTAGCGTGGCAGGCAACTAGCTTTGAGTGAACGAGATGGAAGGATCCTATTCTTTGAAAAGATTGGAAGTAGCCTAGGCATCGTAGTGTTATTATAATAAGGTTCACGCAGCGTGGCACCTCGCTTCCTACGGGAGTCTTGGTCGCCTGGCTGTCACCCCGAGCAGGCTCACACAGCGTTATTTCCCCGTGTTGACTTATCAGACGTGGGGGAGTGGGAGCCCGAGGGCTCGGGCGAGTGCGGCGCGCGCGTGTGGTGCCCCGACCTGCAGCACGAGGGCCAGTGGCACCACCTCGCGCTGGTGCTCAACCGGGCCGTACTGAAAAACTCGTCGTTCTCCTTGTATTTGGATGGTGAGTGGCCAGCTATTATTTTTATTTTTTTTAGATAAATAGTGAAAGTTTTAATACTTATTTGGTACCTTTGTAAAACAGGGTTGTGAACAGAAGACCATGAACAAAATGTTGTCCTTCAATTATGAGACTATAAATACGTATCAAGTCAAAAAGACACCAAAAATGGCAATGAAAAGACAAAATCTGACGTATCATTAGACACCACCTATGAATCTTACTTTTCTTAATCTTATAACAGCGAAATATTTACTTATATCTACTTAATGTCAATTTAGTTGTTTATTCAGGGAGTCATTTTTACCCTCCTCCCGTGTTCGTGCATTCCAGGTCAGCACATGCATTCAGGAAAGCTACATTACGTAAGTGCAAATCCTGGTGGAGGAGCTGCGACGCTCTCGGGCGCGTCCAGTGTCTACTGCATTATCGGCACACCTCCGCAATGGCGGCGGTACTCTCGCCTCGTATGGAGACAAGGGCCGGCTTTATTGCTTGAAGACGTAAGTGTATATTTTTTCCCATAAAGCTATATCATGGATTACTAATGTTTGGCCAAAAAACGTTTCCCAAATTATCACATCGCAAACAACGTTTCGCAAATTTTCATTTGGCAAATTCTCATTTGGCAAAACAACTTGTTGCAAACTTTTAATTCGCAAATGTCGTTTTTGGCATATTATTGTTTTACAAATTATTGTTTGGCAAAGTATGTTTTGCCAAATGTTTCATTTGGCAAAAATATTTCACGATAAACTATTTACAAAACAATTTGATTGGTGCATAAAATGGAATTCAAATTAACTTGTGGTTATTATTTTGTTTAGTAGGTAGTTAATATAAAATTTGTTCTTAATTAATTTTCATATTTCATTCTTTTTATCGAAATTTCCAAATGATTTCATTAACAATAGAGGTGATTCTAACGCTCGGCGGCCGTTAAGGGTCACTGTTCTAACCTAACCTAACCTAACCTACTATTTTCTGCAATACCTACTTTCTGAAACCATTCTATTTTCTGCAATCTCTTTGTTTTACATAATATTCTTGTGAAAACCACGATCATGTGCCTTATGCTATGATTTGTGGGTAACGGTGGGTAGGTATGTGAAGTGTCAATTTGACCAAACAAATTATTTGGGATATAATATAATGGCAAAATAAAACATTTGCTATATAAACATTTGCCAAGTAAAATTTTGCCAAATGATAATATGACCAAATGAATTAGTTGCGAAAAGTACTGTTGCTAAAAGTTAATTTGGGAAATGAAACTTTGGCGATAAGTTGTTTGCGAAGTGAAATTTGGCGAAAAGTAATTTGGCCAAACGGAAGGATACCCTATATCATACATTTTTTTTTATGAATTTGCAATGCTAAATTAACACTTTATTTACAGGTACTGTCAGCAGCGACGGTAGCAGTTATCTACCAACTCGGCCCTCATTACGTTGGCACACTCCAAGCCCCTCAATTGGCGGGTCAAAATCCTGAACCCTTAGCGCCGCTAGTCGCCGAAGAGAAAGTTGTATTTGGCATCAACGCCCGTGCTATGTCGCAACTGACTCTGGCGAAGATTCGAAAAGTATACAGCAAGAATGACAACAAAGCGATAGCGAAACAACTAGGCATGTCTTCGCATGAAAACGCTACGCCTATCAGGATTCTGCACAATTCGGCCGGGCACCTGATGGGCCCTGCAAGATGTTTGGGAGGAACTGTTGTGGGTTATTTGGGGGTGAGAGTGTTTTGCTCCAAACCTGCTGCGATCATGGTAAGATATTTGTAACTATTTATGTCTTTTTACTCATATAAATGTAACAATGTGTATGCCAACTATTTTTTTGTCCAGATTGACACAGTCGGCGGATGCTCAGTATTATTGGGTCTGATTGCCATGGCGCAAGACGTAGAGTGCCTGTACGCTGGCGTCAAAGCCCTGGTATGTGTTGTTCGCTCAAACAAAGCAGCACAAGCTGAGATGGACCGCCGAAGGGGATACCAGACTCTCGCCATGCTACTCAAACGAAAAAAGCAACTGCTCAATTCGCATATACTCCACCTAATATTTGGATTAGTGGGAACCGTTGATAGTCAAAAAGAAACCTCATCAATTCCAAATTTAACAGCGTTTCAGGTAATCAGACATTCACATCTACGTCAATGCTGGTGATGGTTTTTATTTTTTTATGACGCATTTTCTGGGTGATAGCTTTGAAGTAGTTAGCCACTATTTTACTAAATGACTATGTAGGCTGTTTTATTGCAGGATTTGATATGCGAGTTAGATGTATGGCTCGGTGCGCCAGGCGGCCTGATAAAGTCACTGCTGGAGCATTTACTCGAGCTGGCAACAGAAACAGCGCACAGAACGCACAACCTACGCACAATGAGAGAACTACAGTTGGTCTCCAAGCTTTTGTACGTTATTAACGACGTCAAAGTCGTCAGCACAAAGAATGTACTGGTACACTTGTTGTCTGCGTTATTGGGCGGGCAACCGCGACCGAGCGACTTGCTGTGTCTTGGCCAGTTCATGGCGTACACATTGCCTTTACCTACACAGACTGAAAAAGGGCTAAATCTCAAGGAAAGCGATTCGGAGAAAGAGTGTGAAGGTGAACAGATTATTCTCCGAAATAAATGCTTCAATGTCATACATGGGCTGTTGTTCACCGCCAGAAATTTGGTGAACACAATAGTGTGTGAAGAAATATCGCGTGTGTTGGGCATGGATTGGTTGCTCAGCTTTATGCAAGAGAATGTTCACCATACAACAGTATTATGGGCGTTCCGGATTCTCGTAATATTGTGCTCGGGGCAAGGGCAACAATCGGCTATAATGCAAAGGTAATTTTAGTGATCAATCTATAAGTTAAATATTTATATTTTGCCATTATGTCTAGTCTTTAGACTTCGATTTGTTTAGTTCTTATGTTTTTTATACTTTCGGGTTTCAGGTTTCGCGAGGGAACCGGCAACGGTGGATGGTTACGTCACACGGAGGTTTTGGCGGCGCCGCAACAGACCGGCGTCATGTTGCCGGCCACTGTTCACTCCCACACTCACCTTCATACATCATTGCTGCACACCTCTGGGTTCACGCTGCTCTCCTGGTATGTAACTTTGAAAACATGAGATTTTACAAAATATTTCAAAACACGCTAGATCCTGTTTTCCGGTCATTAATTATGATTGATTTATAGTTTTCTATTAACTATAGATGTCCTCTCTCTTTCTTCCACAGGTTGATTCTGTCCCACTTTATAGTTTTCTATTAACTATAGATGTCCTCTTTCTTTCTTCCACAGGTTGATTCTGTCCCACTTACAAATACCGGAGCTATACTATCTCCTTTTCGGCTTGACTCTCGGTCAGCCGATGCGCAACGTGGGAGCTGATAAAACCGTCTCAGTAGAGCGAGTGTGGGGCGCCGCTTGGGGCGCTGCTGCCCCCTCCCGCCAGTCGTCCGCCGCGGTGGCCGCGAGAATCACCCTATGCCCTGAAGCCGTGGTTATACTGCTGGGGGCTGTAAGGGCGTTGGTTCACGCCGAACCGGGGTCATTGCCCGAGTGGCTGAGTGAACACCCTGTGACTATTATACAGGTGCGTCGAAATTCGCTTGGCTTAAAACGTATAATAACCTCACCAAAGACTACTATGCTCTTGATATTATGAAATATTTTACCTTAATAGTTGACCTGTTCGCTAACTAGTAATTATTTTCAGGTGTTGTTTTCCCTGTACAACACGCTGCCTGATTTTGTGTCAATTATGATGACGGCTGAAGTATTAACAGCGCTAGCATCGACTCTCTTTCCGCCGAACACTACGGATGATATTCATATGCGTAAGTATGAAGTACTGTTTGATACACTCGGTAACATAATGTTAACTTTCATGGGGAGATGAAAACCTGTCCTAAAATACCATTCACCATGTGTTATTATCGAGAAGGAATAAAAAATAATAAATCTGCTATTAAAGGGTTTCAGCACTGGAAACAGTGTAGTTTTCCTATTTTTAAGCAATCATTCGCCCAATTTCATATCATTCTTGACTATACTTGTCCTTTAACATGTCAATTACACCTTATAGCTATATGCGAGAGCGGCGAAAGTTCCGGAGCTTCCACGCCTGGCTCCGAGAAAGAAGTGGTGATCGTCAGCAACTCGGCGGCGCTGACGCAGCACGCGGCGCGTCAGGGCGTCATGGACTTCTTACGCGTCATCGTGCTGGATTCGTTGCCGTTGAACGTCACGGGGAAAACCGCGCCGGTGAGTTTGACATTGTTTCTTTTTTGTTTTTTGAAAAAATAATGAATGAGGTGCTGACTTGGTGGAAGCTGGCCAGTTGTAATGATTTAAAATTATAATGAAGTTATACTGTCCCACTGTTAGAGGCATGGCGCATAACAGTAGGTCCCTGCAGTAGTGAAGTGAAGCTAGGGTGTGTTCTTGTCTATGTCAAACGTACGAAACTTCAGAGGTGCTTCAGTCATGAGTATACCGTGACAGCTAAGTTACGTTATTGTTACCCTTCCTGACCCCCTCCACTAGTGCAGGAACTTACTCAGTTATGCTTTATTCTTGGTAGATTGTCAGTTGTGTTTTTCCTAGTGAGTGTTTTTATTTTATGTTGTTTTGTCTTGTGTGGTTTCAGCTATTATGTTACTATTACTATTATGTAATTTTTTAAATTGTAATAAATGTTGTTTGATTGTGATTGTACCTCTTAACTTTATCATAGTTTTTTGTTTAGCGAAAAATACAGCCGTAAATATTTTAAAAACATGTCACATGTTAGAAAAAATGTCAATGAGTCATTTAAAATTAAGATTTTTCAGAAGCGCTTTTGCAAACATTATTTTCAAAATTATACAATTATAATTTACTAACTCACTGACTAAGGGTCCCGTTCTTGGACAAGTAATCTACCAACGGCAAAGAATAGAATAAATATGTATTCTAGCCTAATCAATTTTCAATTTAATCACAAAATTACAAAGTTGAAAATTCATTACACACAACATTTTTTACCAATCTATTTTCAATCTAACTTCAGAGTAACAAAGTTCAGAATTGTCTGTTCTATATCGTTGGTAGTCTGTCTAAGCCGTGTGACGTTGGTTCTAGAGCGCGCCACCGGCCGCATGCTCGGACTCGGTGCCACCGTCTATGTTTTGTTCGCCCTGTAGCTCGGCTCCGCTACGATCATTCTTTTATTGCGTAAATATGGGCATTTTTTGTTTTTATTTTACCACTAACTTTCCACTAACCCCTGCAACCAAAATCTATTTGAATCAAATCTATTGGGCTTAAAAATTTGATGAATTTATTTATTTACTTCAAACAATCATTACCGTCGCCGAGCTCTATACATATAAAAGTAATTTAATGAAAAATCCGCCAACTAATAAAATCAAAAGTGGCTATTTACTTCACTATAATAACAATAGTTCACTATCATGACTTTATTACAGTAAATTGAACTGTCCAATCGATTTGAACGTCGTGAAAGAAATATCTACTTATCACTTTATAAATACTCAAATAAATTAACATTTAATGCTTGTGCTTTGTGAGCGACTTATGCCTTTCATCTCTAATCTAATAATAAGAATAACGGATCTATGAGCATGCTTGCGGAAGTCGTATATTCTTTTAAACATTTACATTTTTTTTGTTATTTGTGAAACTGTACTTTCTATGTAATTTATTTATGGTTAGTGCGACTATGTATGTAAATTATTATATGAAATCAACAGAATGTTTGTAACAAGTATAAATATTTTAGCAGAAACAATTACATATTTACTAGTTTACTCTTCTACGTTAGTCACTAACTCGCATCTATTAGCACGATACTATTTCAATGCTTTGTGACTTATAGTGTCATTCAATGAGATATTATATTTTAGGTGATTGACCTCGTATTGGACGCATCACCACCAAACTCCACCAGTTCGCAGCAGATTGAATACCAGACTGAGGTGTTAACGACACTCATGGAAAACCTACTAAACACTGAATTGTTTGGCTCCGAGTCCAATATATCGAATGTTTGCTATTTGGCTGCGAGATTGGTCGACAAACTCTGGCAAGGGCAGCTATCAAGAGATCCTCACGAGGTTAGTCCAGTTAAAAATATACTTCACTTCATTATTATTAGTAAAGCAGAACGCAAAACTGTTCCTTATGAAACAAAGATATTCGGCTTACTATGCTTTACGTGTAAAATTTCTTTCTTCTTCTTTCTTTTCAGCCAAATGACGTCCACTGCTGGACAAAGGCCTCCCCCAAGGTTTTCCACAATGAACGGTCCTGCGCTGCCCGCATCCAGGCTCTTCCCGCGACCTTTACCAGACGTGTAAAAATAATTGGTTTTTATTTTTTGTAGGTATTTGATTTCATAGTGAAATTAGTAACTCAAGCCAAGAAAAAGTCGTCTGTGATATCACTAGAAGGCTTACACCATTGTTTAAACAGGACAATCTTATTTTTGTTGTCTCGGTCGACGGAATCTATTGCCGATCAAATGTCAGTGCTTGAGGCGCTACATAAGCTCACTACCAATAGGTAAGAATACCTTTGATATGCTTAGTTATAGCGTAATTTTTATTAACCTAAATATTTTTTTATTAATTATTATGTATTTTTAGGTTACTGATCTTTGGCGCGGGAAATCACGAACTTGAATTCATTGGGTGCCTTACATACTGCCTTCTACAACTCAGTTCTAACATGAAAATAGCGCTGGAGTCGCACATGCGAACGACTTGGCATGTCAACCCGAGCGGCGATCTTGAGTCGAGAGATGACAAACTAACAACACACCAAGGTAAGTAACTGCTTATTGTGCTCCATACTACTTTTTTCACAATAGTTCTGTGATTGCTGATTGACCGGCATTTACGGTTTACACACTCCTTTGAATCAGTCATCAAATGATACCAATGAGAAACGCTCAACAAAATGTACGTCTCGAGTAGTGCTCACTGGGCGTCTTTTTGCAATAAAACGGTCAAACAATTTCACTTAAGTAGGTTGGTAGTTATGGATTTTATATCGACATTCATCATTGTGTGCTTTATGCCCGTTTTCACCATCAATCCCTAATTTTTAAGTGTACCCTTTAAAAACAAAATTCACTAAGTAAACTCACAAGTCACTTAAAAATTAGAGATTTATGGTGAAAACGGGCATTGCATTGGTATCTTATAGTGATACAATTTCTATAAATTCATAATGAACAGGTCGTAACCTAATGGCTGGGGCCGCTCGTCGAGTGTGGGAGGAGTTATACGCGTGCAAGAAGCCCGCCATCGAAGAGGTGTTCAAAATAACGCTAGTGCTGCCCGTGGGAAACGCGCGCGCACCTGACCTAGCCTCAGTGAGAGAACAGCTGAACGAGGGCGCTCATAAGCTGTGGATCAACTATATCGACACTGAGAGAAAGGTTTGTTTGGGAAAGCTATTTAAATTTTAGTACGAGTAGCGTATAAAATTGTATGAGCCACGTGCACGCCACGTAACAATGTGAATATACTTTTATATTTCTTGTAAGTATAAATAAATATATGTCTACATTGAAATGTTGACGCACACTGGGCGACTCTATGTCTACGACTCTGTCGCCGCGACGACAAGCTAATATATGAAATTGACAAGAATAGGCGTCTAGACACCGCGACTGTCGCCCAGTGTGCGCCTACACTTAGAGTAGGTATTCTATATTTGACTGTTTTCTTTTTCTAGGCCGTGTACCGAGTTCCCTGGGAGTTGCACAATCAAATTCAGTCCAAGATCCAGAAAGTGACTGGGGGCTTGACTCGGTTAGCCTCGAGAACGAAGGTCAAGAAGGATGACTCGGCTAAACAGCGCCCGCATTTGCCACGTGATCACGCGCTCGCTTACATTCAAGATCATGTTCAACTAGTCAGGTAATAAATGTACTCATCAAAAATATATGAAAGCCAAGTTCAATACTATGTTGTATGCCTTGGTTTTTGACTTCACCAACAATAGTACTGTGATCTAAATAGGTGCCAAATTCAGTCCTGAGATAAATAAAAAAAACGTAAATTTTAGGATATATCGAAGCCTGACTTGGCAAAATCTATGAGACACCTCGTTGTGACATAGCTCTCAAAAGTAGATATTTTAATTGACTGGTGGTATCAACTAGATTAATGCATTAATTTATTAACTAAACACCCCTGAGTCTCAAATGTAGTTAAATAACTCGCTTATGTGCCGCATAAACTCATGAATCAACCTCTGTCCAGATGCGCATGGCTAGGCGGAGTGCGCACGAGTCTGCAAACGTCAGCGCACACGACCCGCTACGTGGAAGCCGAGTGGGCGGGCGCGTGGCGGGAGCTGACTCGCGAGCGGGCCCTGTGGGGCCCCGCCAGGCCGGACCCGCTGCGCAAGTGGGCCCTGGACTGCACGGAGGGGCCCTGTCGCATGCGCAAGATGTTGCGGCACAATCACGCCTTCTACCTTCATTATCCATATCGCCCTGAGCTGGAGAACCCTGATAATGTGAGTAGCATAGACGTAATGTACAATACTCTATCATTTAATTTTGATATAGCGCCTCCATGATCCAGTGAGTCTCGATTGGACTCGGAGATTATGTGTTCGATCCCTGCATCGATAAAATAAAAGATCCGTGTACCATAGAGGACACGCATCGTGTCTCTCGTGTCTGTCGGTGTAAAAGCGGGTCCAGACATGTAACGAGTTATTACCCGTCCACATATGCGATCATGATACGCGTCGACAATACGGATACGGTGATCGGATCGGGCAAATGATATATGTCTGGACCCGCCTTAACGTACCATGCTATACGACACTACAGAAATAGTGACTGTGTCTCACATGTCCTCATAAAAAAATCGACTTGACAAATGTAAATTCGCTCATCTTAAACTTTTGGCACGTTAGAAATAATCTTTACCATAATATTTTTATTCTTTTAGAAACAACTAAAGTACAAAGTCGCGCAAAGCCTGGACAGCAAGGAATATTACCGAGTGTACCAGCAGTGGCGGACGGCGGGGAACACCTTGGACGAGGCCGACTGCACGGAGGCAGAGGACTTGCAGGTCCCCCAGGACGAAGATCACAGGTAACGAGGCTACCTTTCTTTCTTAGAAGATTAATAGTCAGAGAGAACTTAGTTATTATACAAGTAAGTCACTCGCATAGCTCATTTCAGATCCGGTTTTCATAAAAGTGAGAAGGAGAGGAGATGTGTTGGAATAACCAATCAGATTTAAATAATTTAAACACAGGTTTTAACGCGATACGCATTTAACATTTGTCGGTTGAAATGCAACGCGAAAGTTTAAGTTATCCTATCAGATTTCCGTAGCGACTGAGCAGAGACGTCGTGTTTTAGAAAGGGTAGTATTTAAACGTGTGACTGTNTGTTAAACTAATTAAAGTTTATTCTATGTGTGACAGTTGGTTTTTCCCTTTTACCAGTCTATGTCCGATTATCCGAATTTTCGATTATCCGAATCGACCCCGGTCCCAATTAATTCGGATAATCGGCGTTCTACTGTACTTTTATATTTCTTGTAAGTATAAATAAATATATGTCTACATTGAAATGTTGACGCACACTGGGCGACTCTATGTCTACGACTCTGTCGCCGCGACGACAAGCTAATATATGAAATTGACAAGAATAGGCGTCTAGACACCGCGACTGTCGCCCAGTGTGCGCCTACACTTAGAGTAGGTATTCTATATTTGACTGTTTTCTTTTTCTAGGCCGTGTACCGAGTTCCCTGGGAGTTGCACAATCAAATTCAGTCCAAGATCCAGAAAGTGACTGGGGGCTTGACTCGCTTAGCCTCGAGAACGAAAGTCAAGAAGGATGACTCGGCTAAACAGCGCCCGCATTTGCCACGTGATCACGCGCTCGCTTACATTCAAGATCATGTTCAACTAGTCAGGTAATAAAAGTACCCATCAAAACCATACGAAAGCCTAGTTCAATATTATGATATATGCCTTGCTTGGTTGTTGACTTCACCAACAATAGAACTGAGATCTAAGACAAGTTCAGTCATGAATAAAATTTAAAGAATGTAAACCTTACGATATATTGAAGCCTGACTTGGCCAAATCTATTGGTTACCTTGTTATAACACAGCTCTAAAGTAGTATATATTTTAATTGACTAGTGGTAAACTAGACTATTGCATTAATTCTTTAAGTATACACTCTTCGAGTAGAACCTTAACTTCGAACTTCTCCTATGTTCTTCTGATTAATTTTGTTGCGGGTCCAATGACAGTTTAACGTTCCCCCGAGACAAACTTGACCTTCACTGGTTGAGTTTGGCTGTCAAGCTGTAGATCCTGGCTACACAGGAGTTGCAGTGGTGGGAACGAGAGGTGGGAATAGTCCTTCATACACTCTTGAGTTTCAAATTTAATTAAATAACTCGCTTATGTGCCGCATAAACTCATGAATCAACCTCTGTCCAGATGCGCATGGCTAGGCGGAGTGCGCACGAGTCTGCAAACGTCAGCGCACACCACTCGCTACGTGCAAGCCGAGTGGGCGGGCGCGTGGCGGGAGCTGACTCGCGAGCGGGCCCTGTGGGGCCCCGCCAGGCCGGACCCGCTGCGCAAGTGGGCCCTGGACTGCACGGAGGGGCCCTGTCGCATGCGCAAGATGTTGCGGCACAATCACGCCTTCTACCTTCATTATCCATATCGCCCTGAGCTGGAGAACCCTGATAATGTGAGTAGCATAGACGTAATCTACAATACTCTATCATTTCATTTTGATATAGCGCCTCCATGATCCAGTGAGTCTCGATTGAACTCGGAGATTCTTGGTTCGATTCCTAAATCGGTGAAACATTAGATTTCGTGTGCCTTGGAAGTTTGGAAGACACGTTAGCCCTCGATGTGATGTATCATGTTATCCACTTTTAAACTGTTGTCTAACAGAACAGAACAAGTGTATGTGTCTCTCACCCGTCCTGAAATAAAGAAATCGTTGATCTAAAATTCTAAATGAAAACTATCGGTTGGTTAATGTCAAATCTTGTTATGTTTAATAACATTTTTATTCTTTTAGAAACAACTAAAGTACAAAGTCGCCCAAAGCCTGGACAGCAAGGAATATTACCGAGTGTACCAGCAGTGGCGGACGGCTGGGAACACCTTGGACGAGGCCGACTGCACGGAGGCAGAGGACTTGCAGGTCCCCCAGGACGAAGATCACAGGTAACGGGGTTACCTTTCTTTCTTATAAGATAAGAAGTCAGAGACAACTTAAACTTCAGCCGAACAAACATGTGTTTACCTTACTAATAACACTTTTTGTAAACATTATGGAAGCAATAAACTATTGAGTATTGCGTCGGCGATGGCGATCACAGCGCATGCATAGGCCAATGTCCTGTCATTGATCGCGCGTCCTGTAATCGCCATCATCGACGCGATCTGCACTCGCTTAGCTCGTTTTAAGCCCGGTTTTCACCAAAGTGGACAGGACAGGAGATGTGTTCAAACACATCGAACGAATAACAAATATTCGACTATAACGAAATCTAATAGGCCAGTAAAAAAAAAAATACTCCATGCGGCTTTGGTGAAAACCGGGCCATATTTGCATCAATGCAATGTTTCGGGCGAGTAAATAAGATTAGCCATAATCGACTTTCAAATGTTGTACCAAAGTATTATTTTGTTTATTATAGCAACAGGGACCAATCGATCGATGTGTCCAATGAAGACGGTTCGCCCTCGGCCCTAGTCAGTAGCGGCGTTGTGAGTCGCGGCACTAACCAGTCATCCAGCGAAAGTAAGTTTTATACTCACACATTTATTACAGTAAGATTTTGCTAATTCATTTTCCTGTAATACTTTTGGTCACATTAGTCATTAATATGTTAAAGAAATACGTATTGGTTATGACATTATTTGATAATAATTGTAGTAAACTTTACTAAGTAAAGAAGTCTTATTTTGTTTCTAAATCTAAAATTTATAATATAGCGAATGAAGATGGCCCTGACAATGAAGATGAAGATGAAGCCCAACCACCTCCCCCCGATAATCAGACCCTGCTAAGGTTGCTAGAACATCATGAAAAGGTATAAAACATTCATTACATTAGTATGTGTCACCCCTATTTTATGTTTGAATCAAACTTGTCGATTTAAAGCTTTTTTATAACTACATAATACGTAGTACGAATATCGTATATTCATTCATTCACTATTCTTACTTTTAGATCTCACACATGTTCCGCTGTGCCCGAATACAAGGTCTGGACACGACAGAAGGCCTATTATTGTTTGGCCGAGAGCATTGCTACGTCATCGACGGATTCACGTTGTTGAAAAATCGAGAAATCAGGGATTTAGATAGTTGTCCAGACGATTACGAGCCCATACTACCCAGTCAGGGTATTCAAAGGAGTAACCAAAGACAGTGTTCGAAGTTTCTCTATGAAGACATACGGTAAGATTTGACTGTAACATTAGTTTTTCTACGTTGAATGAAAGTCTGCATTAATTCATTTTGTTCTACAGGGAAGTTCACAAACGAAGATATTTGTTGCAACCTATTGCCCTTGAGGTGTTTTCGAGTGATGGCAGAAATTACCTACTTGCTTTTCCAAGAAAAGTACGGAATAAGGTCAGTTGCAGTTCTATTTATGGTCTATTATGGTCGAGTGAAGCGATGGCTGGTTCACACGTCATGTCTGTGAACAGGCGCTGCCTTCGGGGACTGGTCAAGGAAAGATATACCTGACATAAAATATATATGTATCAAAACGCAACAATTAACCTAGAAATTAGCACGGCACTAAATAAATATATTCAAAACTGCCACGCGGTCTCGTACTAGATGGGCGTCTTAAAGGCCACCTTCTATCAACGGGAGCGCGTGGTAAGTAACTTGCTTCTGAATGTATTGTAACTTCCTACTTTTTTATATTTTTAAACCGGCAGACAGTGGTGACTGAGTTTGTTGCGGCGCTTCTTCTCAACACTTGCCAAATGTTTCTCTCGAAGCGCTGGTAGGGCAAAAAAAAGAATGAGACATGTATAGGCTCCTTAAGAGCATTTGACGATTTGCAAGAACTAATTTAATTAGTCAAACAAATACAGAAAATTTTGATTTTGATTTAATATTTTTTCCATTCCAAATTACTGAGTTTCCTTGACAACTTCTTAATAATGTAGCCACGAAGTGTTTTCAAGCTACATTTGGTAAGTGCCTTCAATTCAAATGGGAATTCTTTCTTCAGGTGTACAGCCGATTCACGGCGCTGGCAACAGGTATGGCGGACAGTGCGGCTGGCAGCGTGGCGGGCCAGAAGAGAGGGGTGGCCGTCGAACAAGGCGGCGGGTTACTGGCCACGCTTATTGGCGACACGTCTGTCACGCAGCGGTGGCTGGTACGTGTGATATAAAGATGTTGGGATGTCAAGCTATATTGGCACCTTATGTAGTTGAAATATGGGCTAATTTACGGTAAATATGTGTAACCTAATTGCTGTCGTCCGTATATAATTTACACTTTTTAAACATTGCCCAATTTATCATTATCTTACTGATGTAGATACGGGTGCTACTAAAATAGTATAAACGGTAATATGTAATAGTGCAGAAGAGGTATATACTCGAAAATAGTAAACCTAATGCTCAAAACTGATAATTACTAAACTTACTGTCACTTCATAATTATTGTTCCGTAGGATTTATATTATAGATGTTCTATACTGGGTTGTTAGTTTTTTTTTTGCCACTTGACGTTTCACAATCGTGGGACTATAACAATGAAATGCCAAAACCTGTTTTTTATAAGCTTTATATTTTCTATTTGCAGAGAGGCGAGATATCTAACTTCCAATATCTGATGCATTTGAACACCCTCGCTGGGCGGTCCTACAACGATCTGATGCAATACCCGGTGTTCCCCTGGATCCTGGCCGATTACGATTCTTTAGAGCTAGACCTCAACGATCCAGCTACTTTCAGAGATCTGACCAAGCCCATGGGAGCTCAGAGTACGGATAGACTGGAACAGTTCCGAAAGAGATATAAGGTACGGTATATGAAATAATTTCCATCATACCTTAAAGTATCAGCAGGGCTACTCGGAAACGCTGTTTACGTGGATTCGGGTCTGTCTGTCACCGTCGCTCATGCTGGCATCTCGCTTTACGTAGAAGAGATGGCAACATTCGAAACTTCACATATCGTTTTCGGAGTAATTCCCCAGGTTATGACATCTTATGACATCTTAAATTCATATTTAATTATCTTTGTACTTTTTTCAAGGAATGGGATGATCCTCACGGTGAAACGCCTCCATACCATTATGGCACGCACTATTCGTCGGCCATGATCGTCTGTTCGTACCTCGTCAGAATGGAACCGTTCACACAACACTTTCTGAGGTTACAAGGGGGCCACTTTGATTTAGCAGACAGGTATAAAAAGGTTTATTACTGTAGTGTTAGTGGTTGAGCCACATAATAAAGTGAATTACAAATAATTTGCTAAAACACTTGTTACAGAATGTTCCATTCCATAAAAGAAGCCTGGAACTCAGCATCTCGACATAACATGGCGGACGTGAAAGAACTCATACCCGAATTCTTTTATTTGCCTGAATTTCTAGTCAATTCCAATAATTTTGATTTAGGTAAGATCTTTTGCATTACATTCATTTTTAAATAATGTGTATTTTGTTTGACAAAAGGGCTTCTATCAGTGGCGTGGTTACACTATACCATCTGAGGCCCGTGGCAAGTTTATTGAGGAGGGCATTGGCGGGGGTCCGTGGCATTTTTCCACTTGGTTCTACGTTTTACAATAACATAAAGATCCAGAGAGTTTAGTCCATAAAATAGTATAAAGATGCCGTGAATATTCGTCGTTACGTAACTCACGAAACTTTAATTTCTTCGTACATATTCTTAATTCCAGCGACATTTTGTTGTAAGGTTTTAAAAGCGTCGCTTTGGCATTATGTTACGTCTACGCTGATAATTTAAAACTTCATTTCGGTGTTTAATTACGTCTTAACTGATTCAAAACACGTGATTAAATAACTTCGTGAACGCCAACAGGTAGCAAACAATCAGGGGTGGCTCTAGGCGACGTGGTCCTCCCGCCGTGGGCCCGTGGGGACCCGCGTGAGTTCATTCGGCTCCACCGCGCAGCCCTAGAGTCTGACTACGTGTCCCACCGCCTCCATCACTGGATAGACCTGGTCTTCGGGTACAAGCAGCAAGGCCAGCCCGCTGTGGACTCCTGCAATGTGTTCCATCACCTGTTTTATGAGGGCAACGTGGATATATACAAGTGAGTCAATAAATATAATAGACTATTTGACACCATTCCCCAATAATTCGAAATCACAACTTTTTGAGTTGACAAGATAGTGACGTCACATACTTGTTTTTCCATACAAAATCTACGGGAGAGTTTCGTTTTGACAGTTTTAAAAAGTACGTCAATGAGGGCTTTTTTATACTTAACAGTTGGCACCCCTGGCGATTGACAGGACCTTACTCTACAGTGGCGCCATCTTGATGAGTGCAAATACGATAGTCCTCCTACCACTTTCGCGCTCACCAGTTGATGCCACTGGCTTCGCTACTAGCAAGTGACAGGACCTTACTCTACAGTGGCGCTAACTGGTGAGCGCTAAAACGATAGCCCTCATTGATTGAGTCGGCATGGACTTCTACACTGCGTCAGCTAGTCCAGATAACAGATATGAACATCAAAATATTCAATCATCAGCAAATAGTTACGTATAATAAGTATTAGGGTGGTCCTTATTTTTCGACTTTTGAATTATCCCCGGGGCACTTTCTCATTCGATTATATACCTCTAAATATGAAATTAGCTTTTTTTGTTTTTTTTTTGGTTAAGATTTAGAGGTCGCTACCAGCTGTCAAAATATTTACAAAAGCTTTGAAGATCTTAAATCATGGTTTCATAAATGTTTTTATTTAAGTGTTTATATCACATTTTACGTGCATATAAACATCGCATAGATAGAATAGACAATCGCTTCTTGTCCCCTTCTCCCCTCAACCCCTATTCTATACCGCCTATGGTACCGACGCGTCGAGATACTAACAAGTAAACTCTTATATCTTAAAAAATAATTGATTCAAATATGTACATTGTACATAATACATTAGTTCATAGCAACAACAATAATTTTGTAATATTTTTATTTGGCTTTGGCTTTAAAAATAAATGAATCTAACAAATACAGATTTTGTTTTTACTTAAAATTCAAACCTTGGTAGCGACCCCTAAATGTCTTTTAAAAATTAAAAAAAAAATAATGAAAGACTTTCATATGGTATGTATTCAAATCACGTGGTGCCCCGCAAAAAATAAGAAAAAAAATTTTTTTCGTAGGAATAAGGACCACCCTAATAAGTATATTATTATTATTTGTTACTTTTAGCATCGACGATCCTCTAAAGAAAAACGCAACTATCGGCTTCATAAACAATTTCGGGCAGATACCAAAGCAGCTTTTTAAGAAAGCACATCCAAGCAAGAAGATGTCACAGCGAAGCTCGACAATTTTAGATCCAAACAATATCATTCCATCGCAAGGAATCACGCCTCCTGAGAAATTGTTCTTTCACAATTTGGAGAACTTGCGGCCTTCGTTACAACCTGTGAAAGGTAAAATATATTCGTAGCTTCTGACTTAGAATAGCTCTAGGACAATATAATAATTACTATGTCTCTTTTCGCAGAGGTGAAGGGCCCAGTAGGCCAGATTTTGTACACGGAAAAGGCAATACTGGCTGTGGAACAAAACAAAGTGCTTATGCCTCCCTCATACAATAAGTACGTGGCGTGGGGATTCGCGGACCACTCGCTGCGTATAGGCAACTACGACAACGATAAAGCGGTGTTTGTGTGCGAGGCTGTGGCTCAAGCGTGTGGAGAAATAGTCGCCTGTGTTTGTCCTTCGGCCAAGACCATCGTTACTGCTGGAACCAGTACTGTGAGTAACCTAATTAACTGATGACTACATAATAAGGATATGTGTTTTGCCAAATCAATGTTCGAACATTGAGAGATAATCTGTTCTATGACAGAACTCCCAGGATATTACTTTCGTCCTAAAATACTTGTCATAATTTTGCGTGATATCGTATTTATTCTTAAAAAATATTTTTTGAAAAAAAAAATTTTTTGAATAACTTGAACAACTTGTCAAAAAACTTTTTACGGTCTGTGTTAGTGCTGCACTCTAGCGAAAACTATCGCAGTGATATTTCCTATTGATGGGTCATTTATTTTCAGGTTGTCACTGTTTGGCAATACTGGGCCCGCCGGCGTCGACTCGCTGTCAAAGTGTGTCTTTACGGGCACGAAGAAGCCGTCACTTGCTTAGCCGCGAGCCCGGCCTACAACTTGGTGGTCAGTGGCAGTCGCGATGGACAGGTATGGTGTCTTATCTCCCTTAGTATTTAATCTTATCCAGTTCTACAAGAGGATTCATTATCATTTTAATTTTAATTGTTTCTTTAGGTCTTAGTATGGGACGTGGAGCGGGGCGCTTTCATACGTCAACTAGTTCCACCTCAAGGCATCATTCCGCCGCCACCCGTATCGGCGCTAGCCATCGACGAACTTACTGTAAGTACTAATGTATTTATTAGTGTTTATGTGATGTGATAGGGCTAACACAGTAGCTTTTTGTAGCATCTAGCGTGACACGCGTATTTTTTCTTCTTTCCATAGTGTTTTTTGTAAAAAAAAACAGGTGAACAATACGATCCGCGCTTACGTCACTTACTACTCACTCCTGAATCCCTTGAGCCGGGTTCAGATGGGTGTAACGCGTAATGGAATGTATCGTGTAATGTAATCGAAATAGTATGGGCAGCACTTACATTTAAAGCTCGCAGTGCCGCCCACATGTAGAAACCGTGTGGTGGTTACACGGTGGATTTCATTACACATTACACCCGTCTGGACCCGGCTTTGTGGATTTAAACTGCGCGCTACCAAACGACGCGCTTGTTTTGTTTTCGATGTCTACTCGGGGAGACGAACAGGGACCCGATTGTGCTAAAAATTTTCAACTGCAACGGGATTGGATGACGAATGACAATCAGCTTTTTGACAAATCCGTATAGCGGTATCGTTTTGACAGCTAATACAAATGAAGCTGAAACGTAATCGAAGCGCAACTGCGCTTTTACGTAAAAGCTGAAATAATGCTACTTTTTATCAAACGCAAGCTTCACGAACATTTGTTGTGTTTTAGTAATTTTAGTTTCAAAAATAAGGTGTTCAGACTTTTAATTAAAAGTGCATAAATCCGTCGTTTCGTCTTTGTTGCGCGTGAACTTTACCGTGATACCGAATTGCACATAAGCTGGAATGAGAATGGAGCGCGAGTCGCGCGCGACTGGAGATGAGACGCGAATGAATAGGCTAGTTTCCTAAAAAAAATTTTTTAGTCCGTCATGTTTAATATCAAAAAATATTGGACACCTGTATTTTTATTTGTCAATCTAACAAATAATTACATAGGTATATATAGTTATGGTACATTGAAGTTCCGCGCGACGTCACAAAGTGCGGCACTTTTATGCACTCATTGACGTCACAGGCCTCTTCTTATGAACTTTGGCGCGCTTTATCTCTTTAAATTTTCAATAGTTTGAAAAAGTGAAAAATACGTGTAGAGTATTTTTTGATAGGTTAACTGACAGACTAATTAAAACTCTTGCTTTTTGACCCAGGAAACATCCCTATTGGAGACATTGCAAATTAGCGCAATCTGAGCCCAGGTCTGGTTACGTTGCCTAGACGATTAGAATCGCAGTTTATTTTATTTCCTTTACCACGTTTTTTTTACCTTTTTCGCTTCATCTCAGGGCGACATAGCGACCTGCAGCGGCAGCTGGCTATACGCGTGGTCGATCAACGGCACGCTTCTGGGCGCCGTGGACACGGTGGGCGGGCGCGAGCGCTCGCAGCAGGTGCTGTGCGTGGCCTTCAGCCAGACGCGCGAGTGGGACCCGCTCAACGTCGTCATCACCGGCTCCACAGACGGCGTCGTGCGGGTGAGCTGAGCAATAAGCATAGCTAGCATTGTTATAGAGCTGTTGATCAACAGCTCAGCCGAACTGGGATGCGCGCCGTGGTAAAATCTTATCGATGACTTCATTTCATATATGTATGGGCTTATCGTAAAATTGATAAAATGTCACGATAAAAGCTTATCGCGGCGCACATCCTAGGCTTATACAGGGTGTTTCCTGTAAGGTGTCAAGCCGAAGTCAGGTGATAGATGAGGACCATACCTATCGATTTCACCCCTATGTATTTTCTACGATTTTTTGGAGTTTAAAAGTTATGTTAGGTGTTTAAGATCTTGTGACGTCACTTAAACAGATTAAAAGACCATGCAGCCTCCCGTTCTACGTAGAATATTCCCGTGTCATGTGACGTCACGATCAATTAATTTCATGTAAATGGTCTAAAAGTTTGATAAGGAACGAAATATTAAATTAGCGTCTGAAACATAATGCACTTGCTGAGGCTTTACTTCTATTTAAACGAAATATCTGCATGTTACCAAGTCACATGTGAAACAATCATGACATTATAAAATTGCAGATGTGGTCCATAGACTACATAGAAGAAACGATTGAGGAGCAACAAGAGCAACAGGAAAGCTTAGAAGCCGTCAGCATAGAGCCTACGACGAGTTCGCTGGACGTAGACAGGGACGCCGACCAAAGCAAGCTGTCGGTCCAGGAGAGCGAAGACCTCAAGTCCGAGACCGATGTCAGGTCGGAGAGCGAGATAAAGACTGAAGACGAACCGGCCAAGACCGAGGCAGCTATCAAGAGGGTGGAGGAACTAGTCAAGCAAATGAGTCTATCACAAGAGGCTGATGGTAAGATTCATTTAAAAACTTTTATTTTTCAGTTTCCTTTTTGATATTCTGCTTTACTAAAATGTTGAATGTCACTTGTCAGTAATAATTGACATAATTAAACATCAGCCAAGTCTGATCATAGTGCAAACCAAACCACATGAATATTCTTAATTATCATAAAATGAGTATCATAGCTTGCCCTGCCACCACTTCGGGACAACATATGGGCTGGTGCTGAGAAGAAGTGGCTTAAGAAACTCAGTCACCTTTGTCATTACAGATTGGTATAGGAAGCGAAATTTTTGTTTCGAAATTTTTAAAATAATATCTTGTATTTTTTCACAGGTAACCTAACAAAGTCAGGTTCCGAGAGCTCCCTATCAGACGCGTGCGAGACAACAAGCGCTAAAGAATCTGCGCGAAGACACGAGGAGAAAGACATCTGCAGCGACAATGAGGAATATACTGGTAGCCGCGACCGCGCCGTCGACTCGTGCGACGAGGCCAAGCAGGAGTACGACAATGAAAAAGACTTGGATGCCGAAAAGGTGATTTAATACGACTTCTTTTCAGCCAACGACAGACCACTGCTGCGATTCATGACAGTTAATATAATAAAATAGTATTGCTAATCGCAAGTCTTACCCAAAAAACGCACGAGCTACGAAGCACGATCTTTAGATTTTTTCGCTACTCAAGTGGTTGACTGAGGAGAAACCCGTGCACGTACCCGTGCGAATATATGTAAAAAATAATGTAAATAATGTAGCAAAAATAATGGGATATTTTATTTTTAGGAGGGTGCTCACAGAAACAAGCTTCAGAAACAAGGCAACATTGTACTGAGGAGGAAGTCAAAGGGGAATCCTTTGTACCGGAAAAGTAAGTATTCTTTTTGTAGATGTTATGCGTTACTCTTGTCATCTTTTAGAGCATATGACCTAATTAGGAGATTGTCAATTGTTCAATGAGTCATATTTTTTAAAGAATTTCATCATCATTTCAGCCATAGGACGCCCACTGCTGAACATAGGCCTCCCCCAATGCTTTCCAATGCTTAAAGAATTTACTTTTTATATTATGAATTCCGGTCGCCGAGCCCATATGACCCCTAGCTACCCATCCTTATCGTTCGCGCATAATCCTTAGCGCTCGCACATTCACTGCGGCCGCCCGTCGCACAGTCGCGACAGCAATATAATTACGCGCGAGCGAAAAGGATAGGTAGCTTAGGGTCATTGGCCGAAATTCTATCTGCTCGGCGACCGGACTTTAGTAATTTCTTAGTTCTAATCTGCAATCATGCTTGTCCAGGCGGGGGCAGCATAGGCGAGTCCAGCGAATCCGGTTCGACGGAGTCCCGCGCCGCGTCCATGGAGGTGGCGGGTGAGGCCGGGCTGCGTGCCAGCAAGAGCGACACCAGCCTCACGGACTCTTTTGTCGTGCTGGCGCCGCCCACTCCGCCTGCGCCTGCGCCCGCGGTCTCCTCGCAGGACACAGGTATTACACATTAGGCGACTTTAGAAGCGACAGACGCGCTGCCGATGATTTCAAACTAGCAAGAGCGACACCAGCCTCACGGACTCTTTTGTCGTGCTGGCGCCGCCCACTCCGCCTGCGCCTGCGCCCGTTGTCTCCTCGCAGGACACAGGTATTACACATTAGGCGACTTTAGTAGCGACAGACGCGCTGCCGATGATTTGAAACTAGCAAGAGCGACACCAGCCTTACTGATTCCTTCGTGGTGGTCGCAAGACACATATTTTGAAAGCTTCTAGAATGGAAGCCTTAATTCCCATATTCACTGCCCCGAGAGCCTTCAGCTCGAGTTGTCAAATCGCTTTGAATCGACGTGAAAAAATTTTTGTTCTTGAAGAAGTAATAGTTTACCTTTTTCTCAAATGCCTCCGCTGACCTAGTTCATCCAGTGGGTTTAACTGTTTTTTTACAAAAGCATTCTATTCTCATCTACTTTTGAGGTATTCACATCCACAAATACGGATAACTGACAGCAGTTTATAGAAGTACGGCAACAGTTAGAGTAGGCGCACACCGTTGATTTTTAGTTGGCCTATAGTTGTGCCCGATTTTAATTTGTATGAAGAATCGGCCAAATCGAATCGGCGTAGTGTGCGCACTTCCATACATGCCCATACTGATCAACTGCCCGACTAAACTATTGGCTGACGAAAAATCAACGGTGTGCGCCTACTCTTACAGCTAAACCTTGTACTTATAAACATAATTAGAAACCACAATCTGAATAAATATTCACGCCTTGTCTCCCCCCAGAATGCACCCGCAAGTGGGTCCGGCGGCTCGTGCTGCGCGGCAAGCTGACGATGCACACGGCGTACGAGCGGCGCGACAACGCCTGCCCCGCCTCCGTCACCGCCGTCGCCGCCGCCAAGAGCGGCCGCGGGCTCGCTGTTGGTGATGNCCCCGCAGGGCAGCTTTGTGGCGAGCTGTTGGTGAGTAGCGACACCACGGGGCCAGTTGTTAATCCGAGTGCTCCCGAGAGTCGGTCAAGACCCTCGTCTTCGGCTTGCCGAAGTGGAATCCGAGAGGGTCTGCAGGACTTTCACCTCTGGCTTGCCTTAACCGGCCGGCCAGAGTGGAGTCGCTAGAGCTATATGCTCCAGGGGTGGAAGTGTTAAAGGGCATAACGCCGCGAGTAACTTCGGAGAAAGCGCAGCACACCTCTCTACACCCCTGAGCTGGCAGACGCCAATGTTGCCCCTCAGTCCGGTCTATACGACCCATGACGCCAGGGGGGGCCCATTTAGTCGCTGGCTAGTCACCGCCTGCCATTTTTTCAGTCCGAGACTATGAACCAGGCAGGTGTCCCGTAGTCTCCATCCATAGCCCAGTAACCAGTCCATCCATCCTTCATCCATAACCCTAGTCCATTCTCCAATAACTGCAATAGCTCCTGTGCACAGGCTGGAGATGGTCTCTGGCTACATCCCATGATATAGTCAGAGACTAGATCCAGCATGTGCACCACTTTCACTTTTGTCGATTATTTTGCGCTTAAAACGGCCTCTACGTGTTGGATCTGTATCCCCACGCAAGCCTTATAAAGGACCGGGCCACTTTTGACCCGTGAGCTCCAAAGCGTACAAACATAATAATAATAATAATAATAATAACTTTATTTTGTCCAAAACACAATCGTGATGTTAAATAAGGTACATGTTAAAAAATTATGTAGTACATTGGTAGGCGAGATTGACAACTACCCTCCGCGCTAGTAATAAAACTGTGTTGCGGCAGAGTAGTGACAGCACGTCGTCCATGATAGCCACATAGCACAATCAAAACAGACAGTCATCATCATCAACACATTATTATGTTTACACATACTCGATTGATTTGATTCATTTAGGCCCGATTCGACCAAATGTTATCCGAAAATAACTTAGGGTATAACTGGCATATTGACAGTTTCAGTATGAGAAAATTATGTCAAAATGTCGAATAACTGACGATTTATTCTGAGATTAATATTTACTCTTGTTTGGTCGAATCCACCCTTAATAATGCTTGGGTTCCAATCTGGGGTCTTCGATCGAAATCTTTTTTTTTTTTTTTTTCAAAAATAAATGAATATAATAAATCAAGTAACAAATATTGCTATTATTTTTGCATTTAACAACATCTATTTTTTAAATGTATTTCATATTGTTGACCTAAAAATCATGTAAATGTTTCAGATATTCCGCTGGTCGGCGCCCGATATGTCGAGCGTGTCAGGCGCTAAAGGCGGGCCTGCCGACCACTGGGTGCGGGACGACACCGCGCCGTATTGCACACAGTGTCAGGTAATCACTAACCTCATATTAAGGTATATAATATAGCAAAAATCCCTTACGGCCATAATTTTACAGTCTCAATTAATATGGCATAATGGCGGTAAGTCATGGCTCCGCCGGCAATCTTTTTGCACAGCAAAGAAAGATTACTGCATCATATAAAACAACTTACTAACCCTTAATGTAGATAAAACTAAGTTCATAACATTAAAATTCATAAAATTCATTTATTTTTGCAAATTCAAATTCAAATTCTCCTATAATGCTTTCTCGCAGCCTACCTCAAACTTATACTCCATTAAAGCCCACTCCTGCACTAATTCTCAACAAGCATGTGCATGCCCTTATTTAAATAGTACTGATAATATGAAATACTTAGGTCTAATCATTGATAAACACCTGAACTTTAAAGCTCACGTCGAAGCTCTCACATCTAGAGTCAGAAAATTGATATTTGCCTTTAAAAATCTGAGACACGTGGCTAAGGGTCCTCTTCTCAAAACTGTCTACCTCACGCTATGTCACNGTGATCCAACAACTTCCGCGAACGCACGTACGCACCCCCGGACGCGCCTTTCGGTTTTTTACTTACAAACTGGACTTTCATTTCATCTTTTCATCATCTTTCGTTCACCCATCGACCTACATCGCCTACAGCAACCATTACTAATAACCACTTTCTAAAAAAGTATTTTACTGAACAAAACTATTAAGTAATAGTAGGTAATACAAGGAAAATTATTAATAGAGAGATTCAATAAAACGTATGTAATTAAAGCTCAGTTACGTTAGTATACAGGGTGTACGCGACAGGAAAAAAAAATTTTTGCTGTTAATGCAGCAGTTATTTCTGAAGTAGGAAATAAACTACTAATGAAATTAAAATAAAATTCATTGATTAATTCTGACAGTTCGTCAAGCTCGAAGATGTACAAGTCTTCGATCGCGACGAGCACGCCGAACCTGCCGTCGAGCGCGCCTCGCCGCAAGAAGGCGAAGGCGCCGCCGCCGCCGGTCATCACGGTCACCGAGACGCCGCGCCTGCAGCCCTGCACCTCCATGGATGACGTCGTCAGCATCTCATCCCTCAGCTCCTTCAACTCCACCATTCATTCCGATCAGGTAATGTTCATCATTGTACTACTGCTTGGTTAAGCTAAGTATAGCCTCTGCCTCGAATTTCGCGGGCAGCGGGGCGGCGGCGGTGGCACCACTCGTCGCCGAGGAAAATGAATTTAAAGTTCGGGGCAGAGGCTTCACGATTTTGTGAGTACATTACAAAACATTCAATTTTCTCTTCCATAAATTATAGTAATCTAATATCAGAAATTACTTTGAAAACCGTATCCAAATCTGTCGCATAGTTTAGTTAGTATGCATATGCTTAGCGACTTTGTTATAATAATAAATATCGATCCCAATCCGACTGTTCTATGTTTGTTCATAGAAATCAATAGGCGTATCGACACCTCGAATGAAGAAAAAGAGACCTGCACCCACGCCTCCGGACAGCCTATCCACTGTCTCTGGCTTTGGTTCTCTGGAGAAAGGCGTCGATTCTTCGGGGTTACGCAGCAATGCTTCTGATGGTATGTGCGGAAAACTGATTACACCTTTTTCTTGACACAATATTATCTTATCTCACTCTTTTTCAATACTCTATGGTGGGTGGGCCTTCTTACAGCATGTCGATTGTCCAACATGTCAATTGTTTCCTTTATCAACAGGAAAAAAGATATTTCTCTACATATTTGTAACGGAGTTCGTATCAAATCTTTATCTGGTGATGGCTAACTTTATTGATACTATTTTGAACATTATACAAATGAAAGAAGGCTTAAAATTACATAATGAAAAATATTTTTCCATTGAATAAGTTTACGACGTTATTTATTTATCGTTCATTCAAGTGATATTGTGCTACATCAATATTATTTAATAATGTATAATATTCTAACCACATGTGGCATGTCAAACACTTGGGCAGTCACCTGGCCCTTGAACTCGTGCGCATTCATTTTATTAACAGTCACGTCACGCGTCCAGGAAACGTAGGTATTATTTAACAAGTTTAAAGTCCAACCTGCAAACGAATTTTTACACATCTTAATAGGAATAACGATACACAATTAGTTCGATTCCACATGCGAGGCGGAATTTTTCAGATGCTTCAAAAATATCTCCTCAGAAACATAACTAAAAGAAGTAACTGATATTTTTTTTTACAAAAAAAATATATTTTTATGCACTTTGATATATTTTTTTAGGTTAAAGGTTTCATTTCAATCAACTTTGAAGAGATGAAGCATCGTATTTGATAAATAAATGTTACATCCAGGAGGTCGTCGATCAGCAAAAGGTCCAGCGCCAGGTCTTCCCCTGCCGGAGCGGCGAGAAGTAAAGCTAGCCATGTCGCCCGAAGAGCTGCAGGTGCAGTTAGACCTGCTGGAGACACAACAGCTGGGCTTGGAGCGGCAGGGCGTGCTCATCGAGCAGATGATCCGCGACAAGTGTGAGGGTAATTGACTTACTGCACATTTTACTTAGAGTAAGCTTCACACCACTTTCATCTGTTTCTCTTGGAAATATCTGCTCACAAGCGCAATGGTATTTAGTTATCTTCGAATGATCGTGATTCCGAGATTGTTTTCAGCCTTAAGAACGTGAAACTTTATTAAAATAATTCGAATGTCCAATCAAGCATCATAGACACGNTAGTTTTTACGGCATCTGCCCGAGAAGGTCTGTAAAATTGGAAATTTTATTGTTGTCTTACATGTTCCTTTCAGGAGAAAATCGACTAAATCAACATTGAGCAAACACTATAGACATGCGGGAGCATGTTAAGCCTAGTTCCAGGGAGGGAACTGCACCGTGCGTATATTTAGACGAACCAATTAGAGCCACTTTTGACTCCTCATCATTCAAAAACTACTGTGCACTTCCTCTCCCTTTAATCCCGACCTCAAAGCCAACAAAAGGCGCGCCGACATCGTATGTCCCTCTGAGCGATTTAACAGACAGCATACCCACAAATTCTTTTGTTTTCTAGGAAGCTTTTTGTACAACAGTATAAACAAGTATCTCTGTATATACCCAATGAACAGCAAAGAATGTAAATATGCACTGCAAAAATGGCTCAAGGGTAAAACATATGATGACACAGAAAACCTGTTAATAGTTATTAGTTAAATTACTTACTTTAGGTATGCTAGCTATAAATAAACATTCTGTCAGCAAAATTTTATTTATGTAACAAAATTGTCAACCTTTACCTTCATCAACATTGTTTTGGTGTAATTATTTATAATATCTGTTTAATAAGCACTAACTTACATAATAATTAGTATGGATACCTAAAACACAGGCAAACATTTTTGCTTAGTTTAGGTATACTACCTTAATTAACATATTGTTACTAACCAAATAATTTCATAGTCCCATTTAAGTTTCTTGTATTTAGGCTAAGTTTTTATTTAATAAATTTATCTTATCTTATCTTATCTATCTTACTTCAAATTTGGCTCATGTATTGAGACTTGCAAGATAAATATCAGCTTCAAATTTCATAAATATACCTCAAACGGTTATTTAGGTATTGACGTTCAAAAATCGACATTTAGAAAACTAAAATATATCTGTTACGGCTAAAGATAGGTGCGAACATAAACTTAAGATTAGCCGGCTAAACTTAAGTTTATCTTCGACGAGGTGTTAATGTTAGTTTCTTCTATCTTTAGCCGGCTAAACTTAAGTGTAACCGCAGGCCCTTGGCTAAAAATGTAGAAGGAAATGGAATATGAAACAATGTAATATTATTTACTATTTGGACACGAAAACTTTAACAAAATATTAATTACTTGAAACAATATCTAGGTACCTATCATTAAAATAAAATAATAAGGAACCATTTTGGTCATTACAGAATCTTCTGTAGGTAGGTATTTAAAATTACAAAATAAAACAAAATAAAACTTCTTCAATGTTAATTACTTAAAACAATATCTAATCACAATTGTTAAAAAATATGGAGCTATTCGTTGTCTTCCCACCGCCCCCTCAAGCCCTCCGCCGGCCTGGCGCGCCCATCGAATACATTTTTAGCCGTTTCGTTTTGGCTAATGTGCACATTAGCCGGCTAAAGATGGAATATCACGACGCAATCTAACATGTTATCGAACTTTAGCTGCTTCTCGAAGATAAACTTAAGTTTAGCCGGCTAATCTTAAGTTTATGTTCATACCTATCTTTAGCCGTAACANTTTTTATTCAATAAATTTATCTTATCTTATCTTATCTTACGATAATACATCCATTATCCTTTAAAATATTGCCATAATAACTTATCGTCAACTTGCTGATCATCTCGGAATCATGTTAGTGCAGGCCTGTTCATTTCCGCGATTTTACATCGAAAACAAAACACGCACGATGGCCCACCTACAGGATACTATTCGACAAGGCCTCACATACGAGCGAACATTGACTCACGCACGCGTATTCTTGTGTATGGTGGAAGAAAATAAAGAAAATGGTGTACTAAATACTGTGCAGTATTTAACTGCCTAAATAATAATAAAAACACAGAATGTACTTTTTTAAGTTGCCTCAAGACACTGAAAGGTAAATAAGTAGCTAAATGTGCTAAATCATGTATTTCCGCAGTTTGGCACCTCACGTCACATCATTTTACCGAAGTCAGCCCTATAGCTTCGGCGCAGTGCCGATCACTGACGTTTGTCAACAAAATGGTGCTTGACTCTTGAGACAGGCTAAATTACACCATATTGTTAATGACATTGAGCATACATTTTTTTAAATACCTTCGCGAAGTAAAACTTCTGTACGTAGTACTTATTATTATTCTGTGGTTAGTGTAATACATAGTGTCACGCACTCTCACTTGTATATTTATGTATTCTTTTTTGAAATAGAAGTCTGTGTGTGTGGCTAATGCCCTCCAATCAAATGAATCATGTGACTCCTTTAACTAGAAGTAATAAGCGATTAGTCTAACTAGATCAGGAATGTCGTGCCAGTATGAGACTAAGAGTTTATGGTGATAATTTATGGCCCCAGGCACACAATTGCTCTAATCTTCTTCAAAAGTTCCTTCACTCCACTTAGGGTTGACACAACATTCGTATTTACAGACATAATAGCACGTCTAGCTGAATACTGTTTCAACTTATGTAATAAAATAGGGGCGAATTTACTACAAAAATGTATTGCTGTAAATGTGTTAATCTGATTTGCTGTCGTCTGTACATTAACAAACCCTAAATAATATCCTAAACACAAGAATACCTAAATCATATTATTATCCTGTCAATAGTTATTTATTACCGTATCTACGAGGAATGTACGACACCATGGTACATTTTTAAACTTTTTTGACTGTCCCATGGACTTTGTATGGCAATGAGGACTATGAAATCATCAAGTCGCGAACTCAATTGACTAACAATGTATTGATTTAAAGCTATTCAACTACCCAATTCTGCAAGCGAAATGTGTACTATGTGATTCTTACATTGTAACAAATTGTAGTCAGTAGGTAGATCGATGTCAACACACGTCCGGCAATTGGTTAAGTGGCCTGACTGATAAAATTGTTGTTTGCAGGTGACGAGCCATCTACTGTGCCACAAGAGGAAGTGGAAGATTTAGTAATACAGCTCTGTGAACTAGTCAACGAGAAGAATGACTTGTTCAGGAAGCAGACTGAACTGATGTATATGTAAGTGACAAACTAAGTCATTTAGGTTGAATTGTCGTGATTTCTTACATGCCTAAGGCTTAACATCTTAAACAATTCAAGATATTTTTTCCTTTTCATGAATATAAAATTCGTACGGAATCCAGCTCAGACGTGTCGCGATAAGTGAAGCAGAGAAAACAAGCTAATCTTTACCTTAAAATTATGATATAACTTCTTAAAATTTCCTATACCTATGAACTTAAGGTATTTATCTAAAACCATATTATCAATATTTATCTTAAATCCCTATGCAGATAAATATCTGCCACAATTAATATTACTTATCGATTATGATGACAAGTTATACAGAAATCAATCCATGTATTTGTGCACATAATATTATCGTAAGGAAAAATTTCTCATTCATATTATAACTCGAAATCATGCATGTAATAATAAAATTAATCTATTATCTAGTTGCATAAGAGTTGTGCTTAGTTTCAATTTTGTCATTGATATAATTTATGATGATTGATATTTATTTGTTGCGCAGGAAATGCGAATATTTACGCTGCATAAAGGAAAGTTAAGGACTCGTTCTATAAAACTTATGTATCATAAGTTAGGACCGGGTTACCTCCACCATATCGAATTACAAATGATCGAAAATCAAAATCTCGAACATTTAGGATATCGAATTTACAAATGAATGATCGAACGATCAAAATATCGAATGATTAAAATATCGAAAATCAATATAAATGTCATATGATTAATGTAAATAAAACATATTCATATAGGTACAATTTTTTTTATTTCCCAGTTTAGGGTACCATAGTCAACAAGGAACCCTTATCTCCATCTTCCTATCATACTATGCAACATAAGATCGACTTTCGATATTTTAATCATTCGATATTTTGATCGCTCGATCATTTGTAAATTCGATATTTTGGTCGTTTGATGAAACGTGTTCGATATTTTGATTTTCGATCATTTGTAATTCGATATGATGGAGGTAACCCGTTAGGACCAACACTGCGATTCCAATCTTATTTTATGACTGTTACTTGTTGATATCTACAAAATAAATAAGACATTCATGATTATAGAGACAGACAGTAACATTATAAGTAAACCATTTGTTATATTGATGTACTCCGGTCCATTTATTGATAAAAAAGTTACACCATACAAGTCTATTTCAAAGTGGCATTTCCATCTAATAGTCACTAAAACAGGATTCAACTATGGTGTAACTTTTATTAATAAGGGGGTGCCAGAATATTTTGTAAGTCATTTAAATTGGTTGAATCATATTTCATTTAACCTTTTACAGACGACGACAGCAGCGGTTGGAACAAGAGCAGGCTGACATTGAGCACGAAATCAGGATTATACAATCTCGACCGGCCGTCAACCGCATCGACGCTGATAAGGTAAACTGTTAGAAACGCGCGCAAACAGCGATTTATCGCAAAATAGAGAATATTTGATAACAAATACGCAGATTACCTATTGATATTTACTCTTATTTTGCATACAATGATACAATGTAAGAGCGATAGCTGCAATGAAAACTTTTATATAAATGGATTTAGTTACCTACTACTCAACCTTCATTAATTAATTAGGTTAGATTCAACAGTGGTGGAAACGATTATTTTATCAAGGTTTTGTCGGAAGACGTAGCGTACGAAGTAGACCCCCTATTGGTGGACTGGTGAAGGTCGCGGAAACCGCCTGGATGTGGGCAACGCAGCAACAGTCGTGGAGATGTTGGAGAGAGGCTTTGGCTTTTATTTGCAACAAATTTAACTGTATTACATTTTATCGCAATCTATTAACATTATTCTGATCAAGTTATCTCATTCGACTATTTCTAAACCATAAAAGATATAAATAATTTAGTTACTAATCCTTTCGGAAGCTGGAAAAATTGAATTTTGTGATAGATCCAGTTTTTTCTGTAACGTATTGATACCGTTTGATAGAGCTCGTGAAGCACAGTGATCGGTGACCAGTAGCATTGTGTGGGTTTTTAGGCGCGCGAGGAGCAGCTGGTGGCGCGCCTGGTGGAGATGGTGCGCCTGCGCGACGAGCTGGTGCAGCAGCTGGACGCCGAGCGCCGCCGCGAGCGCCAGGAGGACCTCGCCATCGCCGCCTCCATCGCCAGCAAGCGCGGTCAGTATGCTGTCCACACTACAGGCCGCGACGCTGCTGCAGCAGCTGGACGCCGAGCGCCGCCGCGAGCGCCAGGAGGACCTCGCCATCGCCGCCTCCATCGCCAGCAAGCGCGGTCAGTATGCTGTCCACACTACAGATGCAGTAAGGCTGGTAAAACGCCACGGGCCCCCGACCCCAGGGGTCCTAGTCTAAGTCCCTAATCGCACTGGTTCCGAGGCCACGGACAGGCCGCGAGATGATTCACATTACGCAATTCCATCAAAAGTTCAAAACTAACCGATTCCAAGCATAAGCTTTGATTAGTAGAATAAATATATTCACAGGCAGTAACTATGACTGAGATCAAGTTTCGGCAAGTGTTGTTTAATTATAAGAACCGAACCCAGATTCACTCTGTCAAAGAAGAGAAAAAAGTGTCTCTTTTGTTGTTGTTGTCATTAAATATTTATTGTGATCCATGTATCTTATTAATACATTAATGTCTTTATTTATCTTCATTTCAGCCCAAAGAAACAGTGAATCGAATAGCTCTTCAATGAAGTCGGTCGAAGTCGTTGCGACTCCTAAAAAGAGTAAGGTAAAAGACAAAGTGAAAAAGCAATTGAAAAAAGCGAAACATACGCTGATTCCCAAAAAGAAAGACGACGGAACAGACCGAAAAACAGAGAAAACTGAAAAAGAAAAGAAACCTAAATAAGGTACTGCTGACTTTAGAATCTTTAGAATGACATCTTACCTAACTGATATTAGATGGAAGACAAAAGTTCACTGCTGTTTGGAGAATGTTCGTGTGCAATTTTGAAAATTATGGTGTGCTAAAAGGTATCACTGCAATAAAGATACCGACACAATATGAAAATGCTATCTAGCCACTACTATATGGAGTGATATGCGAATGATTTGCTCGTATCAGCCGATTGTTGCATAGTATTGTTTAGAATTCAAAAAACCTGTTTTACATTTCTGTTATAACGAGAGTGTGTTAGGACAAAACAAGGCTGAATTTTTACATGTTTATATCATTGTTAAACTTGCCTGCATACAGAAATATCCCCTAGGCACACTTGCATTTATCACTCTGTATAATTGTGCACAAATTAAATTGTGAGTGCTACTTATACTTAAGGAAAGACTGAAACATTCCATTCTATTTATATGATTTTATTTTAAATACAATTAGAATTTTCTCATTAATATCTGACACTTTATAATAATATGTTTTAAGCCTATATTTAACGGGCCTAATGTTATATTGTGGTATAGTTTACTTGCACTAATATAAACACTAAAAACTAATACATGTATGTACAGTGCTGTTATTTTAGGTTTACGCTTCAGATCAAATCAACTATGTATAACATAAGTTATTTAACTAAGTTAATTTTATTCAAATCAAAGTGACATTCCAATTGATTTGAGAACCGTAAAATTTTATAAAATGCAGTACTGGACAAATTATTGCAATATAGCGCATTAGCGCACCTAATATTTTTAACCGGTTTTAGTGGTTACCAAGAGCTAAGCAAACTAGTTTACCTCACACCACTGAAGACATTTTTTAGACTTAGATCAGACCGCAATAGCATGAAAAATCATATCTGGTATTTGTACTAAAAATTGGCTTAGCTGTAAGTCTGCAACTAGCATGGCAAGTCACGTTTTCGCTAACACAAATGATAAATTTACTAACTTGAATGCGTGCAAATAATACTACTGTTTCGTAAACTTTACTTGAAATATGTGCAAATTATGAAATCATGAATTTTTTCCGATAGGATTTTAGCTGCCGATTTTTCATTTACAATAACGTTATGTTGTTTTTTTGATCAAGCACATCAGATTATACATTTTTGTAGCAAAACGCACCTATTGGAACTACTCGTATGATGCCACCACAGCTAATGATATTAAGTTATGGTCACAGCGGTTACCTTGATGAGCTGACGTCTGTTCTATAAAAAATGTGCAATTTTCCAATCAAGGCAATCAAGCGAAAAGCGTTAAAGATTTCAAGGACGCCCGATATTATATTAAAAGTTATTATTGAGTTTTATTTGTTATAATTTATGAGCATTATAGATTGGTCTATTTAGTTAAGATTTCATATTTTTATAAATCGCACAAACTTGTAAGTACTTAATATTAACATACTATGTGCCACGTTAAGAAATTTAGTGAAATAAGCGAATATATTTGGTGCCACTTAAAAAATGAATCTCTTAATTCGTTTGAGTCAGACACATATTTATTATTAAACTATGCTTAATCTAATCCACAATGCCTCAATATTTTCAGTAATTATTTATGAAATAAGCTTAAATTTAACTTTTCACTATTTACTAACCACCATTCGGGAATAAACTTATTTTTAATTTAGAGACAGAAATTCAATCTTGTAATAATGTCTCTTGTCTTTTGTTTGCAGCTTGGTGACATATAAATCGCATCAATATAGTGCCTTTACAATTATAAATCCATATCAAAATAGCATTTTTACATAGCAAGTTAACAACATTAGGGACCACGCCATATCAATAACGATGCACTAATATCTTTTTAATACATTTTATTTAACATGATAATTAACTGATCGACGGTTTACATAAAGGCAAATATTGTAAGAAAACTATACAAAGCTAAATTTATAATTATCTATTTTCCAGAGAGGTGATTAATTAGTTTTTGTTCTGAAAGAAAAACCAAGTTCAAAAGGTACTTAATAGTGTATTATTTAAAATGCTTCATTATTTTATTCCTATTCATCTATGAATGGTCAAATCAATCACCTTGCACAGGTTTTTTTTATCATGCACAAATCAGTATTATTAATAAATTGCCTTTGTTACAACATTTTTAAGCATCTGTATTTTGTGTTCAACTTAATCGATAAAATACATTAAAATTTACGCTTTGGGACTTTTAGCGATAACACCGTAAATTACAATATCCCAAGCATATACTATTTTATATTACCTATGTACAGTCGACCGCACAGCATACTATACGTTTTTGTTGCAAAATACAATCATAGCACCTTACATACGATGTTTGGTAGTACCTATATTATCTGTGCAATGTGTCGCGTCGCCTGTATTTCAATATCATAAAATTGTAAGTATTGCTTACCAAGGGATTTTCAAAGTTTTTTGTTTATTGAGATTAATTTTATTTACAAAACCTCGATAAGTAAGACTCATTGTCAATAGAAAAATAAAATATTTGATAACAATAACATGCTGTTTCTATTTTAGCGTTAAACCACTGTGTAAATCTACTCCTCATTTGAATTGTTAATTTATAGCATAGCCCTAATATAGTAGTTTTTCGGGTAAACTCAAAATTTTGATTGGCTTCTGCAAAGAATAGTCGACCGTGCTAGCCTTAAATGTTACGGTTCAAAGATGATCGATAGAACCCTGAATGCTAAAAGTAGCATATTGTGTGCTGTGGCTCTAATGATTTCAGCGTTGTCAATTCATAATACTCACGTTATGAAGAGTCACAGAATAAAAAGTGAAGCTTTTTTTTTTTCAAAAACCATGAATATCGGTCCAGCTGTTCTCAAGTTAATAAGTGCTCGAACAAATCCGACAATATATGTCCGGTTTCCGGCAAATTGCCGGTCCGGCGTAGTGGGAACCGGGCCTAATTAAGATGAAGGGTTTAGTCGTTTGAAATAATAAATATACAATAATATATTGTGGAAATGTGTATTGCCATAATAAGTCGGGTTGTATAATTACAATACATAACAAATCTATTCGGATAAATTATTGTGATTCTTCTACAAGGTAAGGAAACAAAACATACATTAATAACAATGCTGGCAAAGCTCAAGATTCAAATAAGTAATAATAATTATGTGGTTTTCTGAATAAAGAAAAATAAAATAATAATTATTATTATGGAGACAATAGTTTACTATCAGCACCTTTATCTTTCGTGGAGATTTCCACAAACTTGATTTATGTTTACATGGATATCCATACACACAATCATTATCATAATGTCACCAAATTACTTATTATTTCCACTTATACCCATAGGTAGGTATCGAAGTTAATATAATCGGTATTCTATTTTAAATTGCCATTCATGTACTGAACAATTCTAAAGGATGCACCCTCCCTACCTGGTTGGTACAGGAGAAATAAAATATATTATGCTGGATATATCTTACTTAACATTATAAATTGAAAAAGCCAAATATATTATGAAGAACGTAAAGTTCATTTTTTGCTTGGAAGTTTAAAGATCTCAAATGTAATTTAAATAGATTTACCACTTTATTCACAAAATTGACATCCATCGAAGTTATGTAAAGGATGCGGTCTAGATTACGATACCACCTAATGATCACGCCTTACAAACTTACAAAGTTGATGCTAATCTGTAGTTATGTTTTTACAATATACTTTACTCACACACAATAAACACAGAGAAAACGCGGCAAAGACCGCAATACCGATAGCATTCAAACTAATTTGTGTCAAACCAAAATTTGGAAAACCTTGGATAAGTGTTTTTGAATCATTCCATTACAATTTTAAAAAACCTTTAATTCATAGGAATTCCAAAGGATTGCCTTATTTTATAGCACTAGTTGGCGCCACTGGCAGGTAAGGTTCTGTCCTTTGCTTCTGGGCTAAGCTAGCCCCTAGGCCCCAGCCCGTACATCCCAGAGCTAGGCTAAAAGAGTGGCGCCAACTAGTGAGTGCTTAAGGAAACACTAATTGCTTCAAAAACAAATAGCTTTCTATTAAAAATATATATTTTGCTAAATATACTTTTCCATAGCACACAACAATTTAGCTAAGTGAACAATCATTTCTATTATCTAAATTGTCTAATTTGAAAACATTTCATTGAACTTATAAACAAATTCATATTCATTCATTAACCAAATATTGGGTACTAATTTCTGATAATAATTCCTGTTTAAATAGTATTTTATCAAGGTGATCTAGTATTTCATTACTACTAGGTAAAAAAACAATAACAATGATTAATCTTAATTAAGTGAACTCTTAATGCTATTTCTTAACATAATTATTATCTATTTCAATACGTAAATTTGTTTGTTTTGATTTACTGATTCGACCTCTCAAATCATCTGTTTTGTTCAGTCTTCTTGATTTTAACATATGACGTAGATCACTTCGTGCCCCTACATGTGTTTCTGGTTGATCTTTGGTTTCCAGTCTAGACCAGACATCACTGGTTTTACTGTTAACTTTTTGAACTCTGCTCATGACATAGTGATCGTCACTGTCATCTGTGCCGTCACTCGAATACTCATCAGCTGACAAAGAACTATCTGCAGGTACAACTTTAGCACCTAAACGTGACAGTATTGTTGACTTTCGTGAATTTCTTTCCCCTGTTTTAAACTTCTCAGACAGTTTTGTTGTGTGTCTTGGCATATAGTTGCTTTTGGAATTTACCACTTGTATAGATAATGGTGCATAAATATCTCGTTCATTGGATGACTCCCTATCGCTAACAGGTTGCTTTTTCTTTAGTTTTGATTCTTCATCATCAGCATGCATTCTCATTCTTGGTACCTTTGATTTCTTTTTCCATTCAGAATCTGAACTACTATCATCAGGCTCTTCAACTTTATGACTTCGTTTTCCCAAACGCATGGCCAATTGCTTATTTTTTATTACAACTTCTTGGTTTTCTGGTGTAAACTCCTCTTCATCATCATCATGTTTTGGTAATCGGCGTTGAAAAATTTCTTGATGGTCATATACACCCCATGACTTACATAAATCACCCCAAGGGTTCTTGCTCACAGAATCTGTATTTTGATCATAATACTCATCAGTGTATTTAATATCTTCAGCCTTCTTTTTAGGCATTTTTTTATCACCATTTGTAGCAAAGCGCATTAAAATGAGATCCTTTTTAGGATGAGGCATTCCTTCTCTCCAATGATGTAAAGATTTAGCAGCAAGCATTTCCTTCAATTCTTCACTTTTGATTTCACGGGAGTGCACTAGCAAAGCTAAAGCAGCAGATATATGATCCTGACAAACAATATTACCTGAAAAATTATTAAAACATGTTAATAAGAAATAAATAATTTTAAAATTTCACTTGTGGTTTGTTGAAACAATTTGTAATTTTGGTAAATGGGTCTGTACTCACTGTGAGTACAATAATCATGGTACTAAAGTGATATTAACTTTAACTAAAAACAAATAATATACTTACATGAAACTTCATCAATCCTTTCCAACGATAAGGGCTTATAATCTTCCAAGTATTCAAATATCTCTCTAGTGGTCAGTCCCTCCACCCCATTCAAATGTAGAGCATCAAATCTGAAGTGTCTTTCATTACCACTTTCTATTCCAAAATTTTCATAAAGCTCATCGATCTGTTTCTGAGTAATTACTCTATTACCACTAAGATTTAATCCAAATCTTCTTGCCCTTTCTTCTATCCTTGCTGCATCAATCTTTTCCAATTGTGTTACCATTATCCCATTTTTGTCAGCTTTGTAAATCTGCAAATAAAATTATAAATAATTCTACTATTTCTATTTTCTACCAATCTCTACCCAACCCAGTGATAAACTATTATAAATTTTAAAGTTATTCAATAAATTACACCACTTGCTTTTACATGGTGTTTTTTTTTTACCTACTAAATGTACTACCATAACTATTGTTTCTTTTAACACCACAGCTTTAATGCCACGCTAACTAGCTACTTACTTACTAAATTGATACTCTTTAGCCTTTGAATGCTGACGAAAGGCGATTTTATAAAAAATAATAATTTGCAGCATTTGCAGCGTTACCTACTACTGAAGTCCCGAAATATTCATTTAGGTTAATAAAATGTAATCGTAAGATAAAATGAATATGTAAATGTACTAACCACTGTATGTTTCGCTGGTTCCAAGTCTTCATTTTTTGATGGTGGTTCGAAATCGTCAACAAGCATAGGGTTATCATCACTCATTTCACCTTCTTCTCTCTCCATTTTTATTATCTACGTGTAGAAAATTTAAAGGAATAAATCTCTAGTTATTGTAATAAATTAATACGAAATAAGAAACCAAACACGCCAACCAACCAAACAGATGACACAAATTAATTAGTGATTAGGGTTGTGTCACTGTGTGTGCCTGTGTGGTATGAATCATATGAATTCAATCCGATTCGATTCCTAACTAAATCGATTATCAAAAGACATGGTATCGATAAAATAGCATTCGTCTAGCTGCTGCATTGATTTGGTTCCAAAACATAGATTATTTGAAACTTATTAATTAAAGTTGATGATAGCAAGAGGTTTAATGATGATGACCAAACGGGTATTTCGCCAAAAATGGTCGATTTTGCCTAATTTCCTTGGCACGAAGTTTTTTTTTTGTTTTTAACTATTTTTATTTTCCCATTGCATTAAGAAGCAAAAACTAAGCCAATGTATCTAAAAGGGGTGTCATAATTCGTTTTAGAAACAAAGTTATGAGATCATGAATTTTTGGTAGCCAAGGAAATTATTATAAATATTGTTTTCTCTAAGTTTTCTTCTGTGGTTTGCTTTTTTTTAATTCGACCCCTTTTAGTGTACCTTCGCAAGCAAACATACCAATGAATATTATATCATTATAACGTTTTTACACAACTAAAGAAGATAAATGCAGTAGATTGAGTTAAGAGTTAAAAACAAGTTGTGCTATATCTATTCTGATACCCATTTCTTAAAATGTAAATTTTAAACTTATTCCAATAAAGAAATACTAAAAATTTGACTTTACGCCGAATTAAAAATGGTCTTTTATAATTTCCTAGGCCATTTTAAGCCACGGAAATCAAGGAAATTAGGGCCAAAGAAATTAGATTTATGCCTAAAAGACACCACAAACAAAAACCTATTTACCCTATCCATTTACTATTTAAATTATGGGTTAACCCCTACAGACACTACATTTGTGTAAATAAACATTAAAATTAATCCATTGTATAGCTGCAAAAAACCGCCCAAAGAAATTGACTTTTTAGTAAAAAAAAACCCAAGGAGGGACCTACTTACGCGATTTGTCGCGAAACTGATCAACGATGTACTGTCCTGCCTTGATGGTCTCTTGGGACGTAATGGCCGAGTTGTAACGGTGCAGTGCGTTACATTCTAAGTTTTTTCGTTTCGTTACTACAATGGTCGAAAAGAAGACCCAGGGAAATTATACTTTTGACCTGGACAAGAGCTTAACTTCACTTTATTTTCTTCCTATAAGTATTTGACATTTAAAGTTTTTATTTTTCGATAGCTAAACGTTTCTCAAATGTAAAGAGAGTGCTATTAGAATTAAATTACGCTTCAATTTGTCATAATGTGCCTTCATTTTGGCAAACAACAGTAATGGACAGAACAAGGAAATTAGAAAAACGACTTTTGATTAAGATTTTCTAAGGGTTTATTTGTAGTTTCTGCTATTGTAACAGGAAAAACAAATAAAACTTTTGATGAACTTTCCCATAAAAATAGTTTTATACAGACAGATATAAAAAAACATGTGTTCGCCTGCCTGGACACAGAAAATTTACTGATTCGGCGAAATACCCATCACTTTTATTATTTTTAAATAGACTATTACTTAAAATACTACTAAGTAGTGTTAATGCCCGTTTTCACCATTAATCCCTAGTTTTTAAGTTACCCCTATGGTAACAAATAACATGAAATTTGTTTTCAAAGGGGTCACTTAAAAAATAGGGTTTTATGGTGAAAACGGGCTTAAGTCTCTATAGCGCATCATAAACAAAATGAAAGCCGTAACGGATGTCCTTAAAACATAAAACATGATCATAATAAATAAATATAATCGAATCGATACCAAGTAAATAATCGATTCTATATCGATAAGTGGTTCCCGGTTCCGGCTCGAACATCTCTAAACCGACAAACACGCGTCGTAAACCATAGACTACAAAAATATATTTTTTGCACAGATTATATCAAATGATGAATTAGCATATGTGTCGCTTAACTTCAAACTCGGATAAATCCAATTCTAAGATTTTTTGAGATTTTGGTGTCAAATCAAAGAGAAAAAAAATATGTTTTAAACATTTTTATCAGTCGTGTATAAATCAGCGTGGTTCTTGAGAAATAAGCCGTTAAAGTCGTAATATTTTATCTAAGAGAGATAGATCCATGAGACATTTTTTTTCAAACGTAGCTAAGTCCATGAGAGCCAATCAGGTAATTGCGTTTCTTCAACATGGCCGCCAGTTGACGAAAACTCAGCGACCAGTGGCACCATGCGCTCCCGCTTTTTATTGTTTATTTGCGATATTCAGACAGTTCCCATGGATAATTATATTAAAATTGTGTCACCAACTAAAGCCCGCAGGCGGCTTAATATAAAAGTTCGCCTTAGGAAAGAGGAAAAAGCGAAAACTCGGTAAATTTGAAATACCTATCCCTGTGCGTCGTTTGGAATTTAGAGTTGGCACTAGTGTTGTGTTAACCATTTTCGATTATTATTTTGTCCTTCTATTGTTACAGAATATTTTGGACATAAGTATGTTTATGATATACCTAATATTGAGTACATTTCTTTCTCCGATCAAAGTGTAGGTATGTTCATGTAAGTTTTAGAATATAAGACATGCTTTGTGGAGTTGGGTCGTCTGGATATGTTTTGCAGTTTTTTGCTAAATATAATAAATTTGTAAATGTAATTATGTGAAATAAAATATTGATCTATTTAAATGATTTATAATAAACTAACATTTTTTTTCCTTTAAGTTAGGGGCTGGAAACGCACTTTAGCCAATTGGGCATAATGGTCATTGTTAGTGGAATTGAAATATGTATTATAAAAAATGCTTAATATTGAAAATGTGATAGGGCGACCAATTCACGAAGAAGAAATTGAAGAAGATGACTGAAGAAATATTGAATTTTGTTTAAAAAAATTAAATTGGGTACTTTCTTTTTTTATAAAATACCTAATAACTAGATTTTCTTATTTTGTTTTATTGTTCTATTCAGTTTGCTGCTACAAATTTGACTGTAGATGGTATACCGCGATTTCGTCACTACTACATCCCTAGCTCTAATCGTGTTTTTTCATAACCAGATAAATCCGAATCTATTAAATCAAAACTCTATAAATCCTCATTGCGTTTTTTCGAAGTTGGATAAATTGCATTCCATTATATCAAATGAAGGTAAATCCAAACTAAATATTAAATTTTTGAGAGAATGCGTGATTTAAATACTGAAATGAATAAACAGGATCATTTTCTTCAATAGTAGTGCCATAATAATAAAAAGACTGCCTTTTAATTAATTAAAATAAGACTATATACACTTTTTATTAAATATCTCCGAACAGGGTAGAGTGGATTTATCCGAGTTTGAAGTTATGCGACACATATAATAATATATAGTTCCAAAATACTGGACTGTCCTGTCGATGACATTGACAGTGGGGCGCCACCGTCTATACCGGATCGCTGGTTCAGATTTTTGCCATGTTGGAAACCATATAGTTGAACGATGGTAGCGCCCCCCTGTCATTGAGTTTGGTGGGACAGTTCAGCGTGGGTCATCTATAGCTCTTAGCTCATCGAGATATTATGTCAGTGGTCTAGTTTAGAGATGTGCCGCTGAGAAAGTTCTCGTTCCCGGCAATATTCCCAGTGAGAATATTCTCGAGAACCGAGAACGCTCCCGGGAATATTCTCAGTGTTCTCGCCAAATAAATTGAGTTTGAATTTTAATTTTGTTGTTTATATGTGAAATTATTTGTAATGTTTCGATGTTTTATTAACTGGGCGTTAAGACTAGTCGTTATAAACAAGGCATGAAACGTGTCAGTGGGATATTGCTGTCTTCTTGCTCACTCTTTTCGTGGCGAACGCATACCGCGGCTTTAGGACTCGGCTACGGTATTTGAACATGAGTGCCTCTGAATTTTAAGGCCCTTGCCACTCTGGCGGATTTCAAGCGGATTCAAAGCGGATTTAAAGCGGAGCGGCGACGCGACGGAGACGCCGCGTGAAAATATCGTGAAGCTTCCCGAAGGCTGTCTAACCGAGCTGGATTCGATGATTGACCTTTTTTTTCGAAGTTGGACGTACCTAACTGGACTGTTTGTCCCAGGTATACATTGTTGTCAAAAAAATCGAGTGTGGAAGAGTCTCCAACTTTTAGAGGAGTGGGTGCAACACGGTTTTTAGACATGATTTTTAAATATTGTCCATGGTCATTTTGAGACCCACTTGTTGAGAGACTCTGTTGAGCCCATCGAGCATTGTGCCTAGATCTTTCTGCTAAATCCGCTCCAGCCCAGAAGCTTGAAAACATCTTCTAGGCGGTGGTGATGACGTCTCCCTGTCTCACCCCTCGCTGCAACTGGATAGGTTTCGGGTCCTGATCTTGAAACGGACTGTTACTATGGCGTGTTTGTACAAGCCTTTCACAGTTGGAGAGACTGCAGCACTGCCCATGTCTCAATCGAATCGAAGGCTTTATCATAGTTCACAAACGCAAAGTGGCTGATTATACTCCTTGATCTTCCGTATAATCTGCGTAGCGTATATTATTATGGTATATGGTACTAAAGCCTTTTCAGAAACCGGCTTGTTCGGGGGGCTGAAAGTTGTCAAGCCTGCTAGCGTGACAATTCGTAATGACTATCGAAAACAGCTTGTAGATATGGCTCAGAAGCGAAATGGGTCTATAATTCTTCAACAAGGTTTTGTTGCCTTTTTTGACGAGGAGTATCACCATACTTCTTTGCCATGCCGTAGGCATAATTCCCTTGAGGATGACGGAATCGAACAGCTTCTGAAAAGCCTTTAGTACCGGCGTTCCACCTGCTTTCAGAAGCTCAGCCGTGATTACGGTGCCTTGTTGTTTTTCAGCTGTTTGAGAACCATTCTAATCTCGTACAGAAGATCAATCTAGCTAGCACGTATTTTATATAAAAATGTGTCAAATGATCCGCAGACAGGCTATCCACAACTTATCCAGAAGTGGCGAAACAGGCCCTTACTAAGCGATTGTGAAATATGCCCTTAATGTCAAATAAGAATAGTTTGAAAACTAAAAACACGATTTTAATTACTAACAGGAATGATCAGGACCCTGGACATCATCTAGCATTAAAGTGCTCGAAAAGACAAATCCAACGAACCCAAACTCGATGAGTTTCCGCCGTTTCGTTTAGGAGTTCCTATGGCCACCTCCTGACTCCATCATTAGGACCCTGGACATTATCTAGCACTTAAAGATCTCGAAAAGACAAATCCAATGAACCCAAACTCGATGTGATTCCACCGTTTCGTTTAGGAGTTCCTTTGGCCACCTTCCAGTCCCATCATCAGACCAGCTGGTACCACAATATTGTATTGTCATCAAGTTTCATGATGTCATCAAGATACAAGACTTAGAAGTGCATGTAATTCAGATTCTAAGATCCCATTACATAGTTAGTTACATACACAACGACCTAATAAAAGCGTGTTAAAAACGAAAAAATGGACAGTTATATTATTTAATTGCATGTAAAAAGAAATTTCTGTCATCTTACATATCATTAAAACGACATTTCACGACGAAAAAAATAAAATATAATAAAGGAACAGTTGCCGAGAATATTGCCGAGAAAGTTCCCGAGAATATTCTCGGGAACACTGAGAATATAGCCTTTCTCTGCAGATAGAGTGAATTGTTTAATATACACTTATCTGTCGACTTAATTTAATACTATTTTACTTAAGAAAGTTTGTTTATTTCCATTTGATAAACATGATTCTCAACCTTTCTCACTTAGGAGAACGCTCCCGGGAGCGCTCTCGAGAATATTCTCAGTGAGGAGAGCGTTCTCGGGAACGGCACATCAATAGTCTAGTTAATAAAATGAAGCATGGATGTTCTAATTAGATACTTCTCTCTTTGTATTTGAAAAACTCCATATTATTCAGTGATGCTATCTATCGGCTTACCCTTGAGGAGACTTGTTTAGGGCCGCCCCGGGTAGGCAGTCCGCACTGGCACATCTGCATGGCAAATCTGCGGTCATGATACGGGGGGGTGCGATTGTCTTTCAATCTTCGAATCGGTAGGTAACCCCAAAATCCTGGGGGGTACCAGGGGGTGCNGGGGGGGGGGTGATCGCCCCGGGTGCCAACCCATGCTACGGCGCCACTGGAGATGACCGTGGGGAATAGTGGGGATGTTCTCTAGTGGGTATGTCTTTCCCAGTCTAGTACCTGTGAGACGCCTAGTAGTGGGATAAATCCGGGTTTTGTTAAATAAAACATCAAGTTTTACTTTAATATTATTTAATGTATTAAATTCTAAGGTATGTAATGCTGATTGGCAAACACATATTCTAAACTTTTAGTAAGTCAATAGTGCTAAGAGTGCTAGTTTCATGCTTTTAGCAAGATCATAGCACCATAATAATATTATGGCGCGACAAAGATATCAAACTCGGTAGAGTTTTGAGACACTAAAATTATAGTTTTTAGTTCTATACATAAAAAAACGGTATATTGATCGCGGTTTATTTATTGACATTATATTCAAACTTATTACCTACATACATTGTTTACATTGTACAATCGACAGCACATTGTTGATATAGGTAGTAGGACTTAACTGAATCAGTGCCCTCAGGCACATCATACCGAGAGCAGTACGGGTGGGTGTTTTTGTGACTGTCAAACGCTTACGTTTCACATTAAAAACTTCGAGCCCCGATAGGCCTATAGTTCCAAAATACTGGACTGTCCTGTCGATGACATTGACAGTGGGGCGCCACCGTCAATACCGGATCGCTGGTTCAGATTTTTGCCATGTTGGAAACCATATAGTTGACCGATGGTAGCGCCCCCCTGTCATTGAGTTTGGCGGGACAGTTCAGCGTGGGTCATCTATACAGACGCGCTTCATCGATTCTGCGATACGATTGGTCAGCGTAATGATAAAAACAGCGTACGTCAGCTGTTTTGACCAATCGTATCGCAGAATCGATGAAGCGCGTCTGGATCGGAGACGTTAAAAATTACCGTAATCGGGGCTCAGAACTCTTTCAGATTTGTATGCTCTAACTCGTCATTTATGTCAATGTTACCCCTCCCGTACCGCTCCCATACCTCAGGCACTGAGTCAGTTATGTGTTATAGGTCAAATTATTTGCAAAACAGCACCTTTAAAGGTGTTAATACCGTTTTATGATGACATCTAGGTTAATGTGCCGCCGCGTCCTGTATTTATGATAATATGGTGATCGGAGGAATTAAAATAAATACCCATATACCAATAGAAACCCTAGAAATTCATGTTCACGCCATCTATTGGTCATTTAGTAATGTTACTCCGGTCACCAATCGTCTTAACATGATGCGATGATGCGACGAGCTATACGATCAATACGATCGCGATGGTGCCTTAGGAGTAGAGCCGCTAGTAAAACTTATGTGCACACGTTGCACAGATTAGAGATATTATTGTTACAGTAGTAGAGATCCTGTGTGGTTTTAATGGGTATACCTGTTATGTCAATCGTATGGAAACCACAATGACAATTTATATGGAAATATTCTTTGAATCCTGATCTAATGTCAAATTACTTGATATACATAAAATTCGACGTACCTCTTATCATAAATGATGGCATTCATTGGGGCACAGAATCAAGTCCATTTACTTTACTTCCCTAAACATACATTGTAATTTAGCAATACAAAAAAAAACAAACACAAATATGTGGGAGTAAAGCATTGGGACTCGATTCCACCCTAGTGAATGACGGGCATAATAGGGAATATGCACAATATTTTAATTTATTTACTTTGTAAGACTGCACCTAAAACAACTTGAATTTTTTTTTTCAATACATTTCTTAATTACTACTATATTTTCTTGAATAGAGAAAGAGAACCATTTTATACATTTACTTTATACTATGAATACTTATTAGTTATGATGATAAATGGTTTGAGTAACTGATAATTTAAAATTTACATATTCCCCACATGCAACCTATTACAAATTACTGAATAACACTTTGTGGAAAGTTGATATATCCGGTTCCACATTGGAGTTAGTGCTGTATAGGGCCGGCTTTGAACTGCTCCTGAAATATTTGATAATCTAACATTTAATTTTCTTAAATACAGGCATCATACTTTCATAATATTATGGTGAACAAAGCCTGATTAATTAAATCTGCCAATACTTAAGATGTAACACATTGAATTTATATCAATTTACTCAAAAATTAAGATTAACCATTTATTTAAATTGTAACCCAAAACAATATTAAAATTTTGTTTAACATAATACCTGTCTTATTTTATTTGAACGTCAAAAGAAAGTTCTAAAATTAATAATTGAAGTGGCTTATTGTTGGAAAACTGATTGCCATGAAGCAGAAACATAAAAAAAAATTATGACATACCTTGTTGGTGGTGGGGCATTGGCACGTGGAGTGACCAGAAGACAGTTCATCGGTTGGCCGTCGAGCTGCCTGTTGTGGTACAGGTCCACAGCCCGCTGGGCGTCCTCTTGCGTTTTGTATATAACTTCAGCAGTGCCAGGCCGCACTAACCGCGATTCCGCCATGCCGCCTACATCGCCAAATAACTCCTAAAATAATACAAAAGTAAACAGACAAATCTAGAAAGTGCAAAAAGAATAAATCTATAAAGATGAAAATGATTCGCAAAATGTGTTGGTAAGCGCATAACTCAACTACGCCGGGACCAATTTTGCAAATTTTTTTTTTTGTTGAAGTCCAAGGATGGTTTTACGGCGAGAAAAATTCGAATAATTTCCGGGGAAACCCCAGGCGAAGCCCCGGGTTTCGTACCTAGGTTGTACCTAGTACACAATAAAAACACGAGGTTAACCTGCTAAATAATAACTAATAAGTACCTCTATATCTCCACTGGTAACAGTGTTGCGTAAGTTACTGACTATAATCCTGTACTCTAATACAGGTTTTTCTGTTTTCTTTTCAACGGTATCAGTTCGTAAAGCTGCCATTGGTCTTTTTTTCAGGATTGATGGAGGCCTGGGTGGACTTTTTTCTTTTTCTGGTACAGCAGATCTGAAACATTATGTGTCAACAAACATTGGTTTTTTGTTTGAACAACTGAAATAACATTGTTGATTTTAGTGTGAAACTGTTGATCTAGAAATATCTTTTGTAGAAAGACATGTATTATTATCTGAAAAAAATAAAAATAAATGGATTTTATAATTGTACATAATTATCAGAATACAAATATTCAAACCTGTAAACAGCAGTCCTTTTTTCCAAAGGATCATTATTATGAGCAATTATTTTTAGCTGCAAGCTGGCTTTACGGTTGGATGATAATGTTCTTTTTGGAGGAATATACTCATCTCCCATGGGATCATCAATGACTTCAATATCATTTTCAACAGTTCTCAGGATGGGTTGAGGTCTGGTAATTCCTATAAAAAATAAATGAAATATATAGTTATGTTACCTCAAAAAACAACAATTGACAATAATAAAGTAAATAGATAATTATTATAACAGTAATATACATACCAGACAATTTTGCCTGTATGGGAATTGGTTCATTAAACCGCCTGGAGTGTAAGTTTAGATGTTTAGAGATGTTTCTGGCAGTGGCCAAAGGCTGAGAAACCACTTGTCTTGATGGGTCAATGAACACTACAATGAAACAAATAATTTAACTTTATTTTTGCTCTGATGTATCAATAACAAATGATAAATCCTGGTGTATACTTGAAATTTGAATAAAAGCTATTTATTTAGTATTTAAGCTTTTTGCACATAATAATATAATTGTACAGTGGCAGACTTAACATCGGGTGGCAAGAATGCCACCAAGAGAACTACCAGTCAACCACAGGTCAAGGCAAGAAGGTAAGTAGTGAAAATTATCAACAGCCTAGATTACTCTTGAAACTTTTACAGTTTGAAAGCACTGTACTTACGCCGTTCCTTATTTTGGACTGTCCTCAAAAATTTGTTGCGATGCTGATACATATTTCTAGGTTTCTGTTGAGATGACAGCTAAAACCAGCAGAATAAAGTCAATAAATATATAATAATTTAATTAATGTGGTTAGCAGTTAGTCTTTTCTAGAACTTCTTCTTGAAAGATCTTATAAGCTATATCTACAGGACTGCATGGAAAATTCTCAAAATATTATATTCTTCAAGTAAGTTCTCACTAATTACATATCAATTTTAAGTGTTAATAATTTTATATCGGTATTATATGCCTGTAGGTAGTATAGAAGCTAAATTATATAAATATGTTACCCGCTTTAATCTCATTTGTTCTATTTTTAATCTGGCATCCTTCTGTTTAGCCAGTTCAGCCAACTTTTCTCTAGCATCTACTATTTGAGTTCTTTTTTTATGTATTATTTTGTTTCTAGCGTCAGTAATTGGAATTTTGGGTCTCGGCATTACATTTTTACCTTTCCCTAGTTGCGCCGTATTTTTCGATCTGGAAGAATTTCAATTAATATATTATAAATAAAAAAACAGGCATTCAATAAATAAATGTATTTAGTCTCATTTTACTTGTACATACTTCACATTTTCTCGTTTCTTTTTCTGTATGATATCTTCCAAACTCATATCAATATACGAGGTCATTTTGATACCTCACAAGTTCTTGAGTATACACTGCGTCTGTAAACCAGATGTTTACAATTGTTTAGACTATTATCAATATTAATATCAACGTTCACAGCTAATAGAAATGAAAAAATTTGAAATTCGTTTAATAAAATAGAATCCGCTTCGTTTGGTAGCAATTTTTTAGTAATTTGACATTTTACTTTTTTTAATAATAGGTGGGTTTTTTTTCCTTCAGATTTTTATAATTACAGAAAAAGACATAGACCTAGTAAAAAAATAGTGAGAACGGGAAAATAGTTGGTAACTATTTTTTAAAGAATAGGTAATATTGCTGCCAGCCGTTGGTTATTTTGTTTTTTTTTTAATCGATGACAACATGAAGCTACAGATAAAAATGGAGGGCAGAGTTTGGAACAAAAACTTGAGTCAAATACCTACTTATAATTATCTATCTCGCTCTCTGCGGCCCTACCTCTCTTTTTAGTGTGAACTGTAGTATTGCTATCTTCTGATTTAAATCTCCTTGTAAATTCTTCGAAATAGCCAATGAGGATCATTTCGATTTTTAGCTGTGAATGCAGATTTATAGGGCTAAGAAATCCTTAATTCACAGTCCAAAAATTTTTGCTCTACGACAAAAATTGACGAAGTTATGGCCAAATTACTAAAAAAGTTCACTGACCGCCCGGCGCGGGGACGATGACGTCACTATATCCGATCCGAACGCTGCCGGCGTACTGCGTGGATAGAAAATATTTTTTTCTAGCCAAACTATCAGTTTTAGAGAAAAACTTGTAATGACATTTATTCATCAGAATAAAGTAAGCTATCGATAGGTAATTTTTAAAAATAGAAATTGTGAAAAATATCGCAAAAAATCCATATGCTCATACGATTCAATGGAACGCGGAGACGCGATTGGGGTCTCCGCGGTGGTATATTTGGCGATTTATTCAAATAAAGTGTTCATAAGTGTTGTTAGTCATATCTTCTTTAAAATTTCTTCTTTAAAATTTTCTAATTTATTTACTTCTAACAATAAAGTATAGCTGAGGCAGATACACTCTGCCTAGGCTACAAGCAAGACATTGCTATGAAGATCATTTCGATGTACACGCAATACCTACCTGTTATTTAGTTTTTCTGAGTTTAACCTACGTACCTACCTATCTATTCGGCGCCGTTCCCATGGGCGGGCCAGCTGCTGCAGGAAAGAACAGCTGCTCCCTCCTGGAAATTATTTAATCTTAGCCTTAGAAGCTGGGTATGACTCCCCCGCCCCCCTCCTCTCCCCAGGTTACAAACTGGGCATGACTTCCTCCTCGGCCAGAAGTTGGGTATGATTTCAGGCCAGAAACTGGGTATGACTTGACCCCCCCCCCTTATTAAGCAGTTAATTTCGTTTGAGATTGTTTACAGGAAATAATCATTGTTTTATCACAAGAATTGGTGCAAAATTTTGTAGTGCGTGGTTGCGGTAGTACGTGCTGTCCTGGAAGTGACATAAGATTCCACGCGTAAGTGTTTATTTCGTGATTTCCGACATTGGATCATTGTAAACATTTTTCACATTTTTTACAGTAATTTCTTCCTAAAAAGTTTTACCATTTATCATTTTTAATGATACCTATGTCAAGAAATAAATATTTTACATTGGTTTCATTGAATTTGAGCAATTTTATATTTTTTGTTTATTTAGAAAGAGCAAGTCTGCCCACAGAGAGCGAGATACTGATACTTAGTTTGTGCTTCAAGTAGGTATTGGGAGTCTGGCCTCCATTTTTATCTGTAGCTTCATGGATGACAAGCGGCTTGCTAAAAGAAAAATCACAGGAAAAATGCTAGCACAGATGAGACTAGCGGCCATTTTGACGTCTCTTTTCAATCGCCACGCTTGAAACGTAGGTATTGTTTTTCGGTTGAAATTATTATTCTAAAGAATAATGGGCGATCGTAAGTACATTTATTCTGTTGAATATTACTCGACAGTGTACTGACAATAATTTTAGAGTGATAACGTCTGTATTTTGTCATTTACAGCTTACGGCTCGGGCGATTATAGTGGCGGTGGGTATTCTGCTCAACAGTATTCTGTGCCACCACCTCAAATGCCTGCCGGAGATAGCAGTTATGGATCAGGACAAGGAGGATACGGTCAAAGTAATTACTCGAACCAAGCTGGAGGCCAGGAGTGGAATCAAAATTCAGGTGCGTGCGTTTACCTCAATTCGGCCGGCGTCATAAGGCGTGTGTGGCACTGACGGAGACTGATAAGCGCTTTTGAGGGCGTCGTATTATATTGACTACATAACATAAAAATGTAGTTGGCTTCTTGTATCTAAATTAATAGACTATTTTCCCAGTTAAAGTGTAATTTCCCATCCACCCCCAAACATTGTTTGTTCATTCACTATGCTATAGTCATAGATAATAATAATATAGTGAGAACATTGTCTCAGTAAATTTTTGTGAAATGTGTAACATGTAGTGTTGCCAAAATTTTACAACTGAACATGTTTCAATTTCAGGGAGCAATTCTTATGGAGGCAGCCAACCTGGGAGTAATTATGGGCAAAACTTTAACTCCGGCTATGGGGGGAGTGGGGGTGGCTACGGCCACGGTAATGACAATAATTACAACGTGAGCGGGGGTGACAGGGGAGGAAACAGCTATGGCAGTGGAGACCGTGGCAACTCCAATTATGGCGGCAACCGAGGAGGCAGTAACTATTCAGGTGGAGACCGAGGGGGCTATGAAGGAGGTGACAGATCAAGCTACAACAGAGATGGGGGGAATAGAGATGGTGGTTATGGGTAAGTTTCCCTTATTTTTTCATAATTTTTTAATATAAATTAGGTCTATTAATTGCTATAAAATTACTATTGTAATTCAGTATTCGAGGTAGATTTCATGCTATGAAAAAAAGATAAGGTAATTACTGCTAAGTAAAACAGAAGGTGCTATTGTTGAAGGTATAATATTCTTGTGTATTTGGGTGAATCTATGACTGATGGTGTTTCGGTACACAAGAGATTATAACCAACATTTAGTGTAATTGATGTAGAAACATTATATTGGGTATAATAGACATGGCGACTGCTCTTATTCCAGGTTACAACCATATATTTTAAAATATTTTTACAGGACAGATTGTGTTTAAGTTTGTGTGACTATTTACAAACGCCAACATAGGGGGTTTTCAAAATCTTAAACACCAATCAATCACACATGGGTTTTTTTACCATTAATCAACTGATATGAATGCAGTGTGCACATTTGTTTTGGTAGTTCAATTGTAACAAAATAAACTTAGCCACTGAACACTTTTTTGAACACCAACTTTTACTTTCACAATAATAACTTGTCTAGTTACAATACTAAAGATAAATATTTTAATGATTTTTTAAAAATATGACCAGAATGACCTTAAAATATTTTTATACACAGAGAGATGGTTCATATTAAATCATATTAAAAAAAACAAGACTAAATTGTGCTACTTATGCCTATGAAAAATATGTCATAGGCGATTTGTAAAAACAACAACATGTTGATTCAAGACAAGTTATCATCCTCAACTTGAACCAATACCCAGTACTCCCTTCGTCATTCATATTGCTGATCGTACCACAGTGATCGGCTAAAATTATTGAAACTTCTTCATTTTGGTTTGGAACAGAGAGTAGAGCAGAATAGTAAAATTCTACAGTATTCACTAGAAGAAAAAAGAGGTTTATAAGGTTTAACAAACGATGTCTCACAAGGTATAAATAAACCATCAATTTGGCAGTCTAGCAATATTGATGGCACTCATGTCTATACTGGTTATACTATTGGTTACACATTATCATGGTTAAGGATTATTATGCAGTTGAACATGACTATTTAAACTACTTGAGTGTGCGTTCTGAGGAGTTGAGTAATGTAATTGTTAGTTTGTTTATATATCTAAGATACTAATTCTATTATGTAAAGTTGTACTCACAGGTATCGCTAATAACTGGTATTGTTGGAATAAATTTTGTAAATATACCATTTTTTTGGGCTTAAGTTTGATATGATAAAATGTGTTCAAGTATTTTTTATTAGATGATAATTTGTCAGTTGTTATTAATAGTTCTTCATATAGAATGATATTTTTTATGTAAGTAGGTTTAACATTTATCAATTTTGAGCATTGTCATACTTAGGCCCAGAAAACAGGGTAGTTAAATATGGTGCATGTTGAGTGTTTATGACTACAAGAGTAAGAAAAATTACCAGTAGAACAAGAATAAAAATCTCCATTGAATATCCCAGTCTAAAACATTTATCTTGCATCACCCAAAATATGTTACAGTTTAGGTGTTATTGAAACAAAATACACAATTAAATCTACTGTATTAAAATAAGTAAATTTACAAAGATACTATTTTGTGATTGACATCAAACTAAATCACTTCTACTGTAACATATCAACTACCTGCAGGGGATTTGGAAAAGTGTTTTATTATTTTACTGTATAAATTATCAATATTAAATACAAAGCATTGTCATGCACATATACAATTATAAAAATTGTTTATATGTATGCCATACTGTCCTTTCACTGCAAAGCTGTGAAAATTTCTAGATACATTTATGAATTTATTTATTTATTTATTTATTTGAACTTTTATGCCAAAATACATTTGAACATAAGGCGAACTTAATGCACTAAAGCATTCTCGACCAGTTTACCTTTGGGTTGAGCAGATTTACTATTATAAAAAAATCCAAATATAAAATACTTTTCCAATTTATTGACGCAGTTTACATATTTCAATTAATATACCTGCATGTGTCCAGAAGTGTATTATAATGTCTTCAAAAACTGTTCTAAGATTTTCAAGGTATCACGGTAATAACATTGTGGTAAAGAAAAGGATTCAACAGACGGACAAGGCGACTTGTCTAGGTGTACCTAGGTGTCGGTCAATCTTCGTGCTGCGTACGGTCCCCAGCCTGCCCAGTGTACTAAACGCCGTTTTTATTGTTTTAGTGGCGGCGGCAGGGGGGGTGGTTTTAATAAAGGTAAAGCTCCTCGCGATGAGCGAGTGGTGCTATTGTCATATTATTAATTTGTATAATATTGAAGGGCTGCCAAACGTCTTAGGGGTTTCATTTTGTACTACTTGGCTGTTGACATGTTTAGACCTGTAAAATAAAGCTTGATTCCTATGATATCAGGATGGAGTTTTAGCAGTCGCAAGATGGTTGTACTTGAAATGATTTTTACATCTTTCATAAGGATCGTAGTTATATTTTGCAGAGTAGTACAATACGGTTTTTTAATCTTGCACAGCTATTTTCTGGTATTGCAACTTAGTAATCATATTTATTATTATTACATTTATTGAGAACATTTAAAGATAGAACTCGCTAAGATTCGCTGACAAATACTCAAATACTCTTCTTTCTATTTCAACTAAGACACAGACTACGTAATTACCTCCACATTGGACGTCGTAAGCCTGATCCACAAATTTTCGTTCCAATAGTACTTTTTTACCCCTGCTTTTATTAGGCCAGTGCTAATGATGAAGGTATAGTGTGGGTTACAATCACGTCAAACATAACCGTCTCTGGTAAGTCAGTTGGCTACTGCACGCGCCAACTTCAAGGGAATTTAGAAACTTCATTAATCACTCTGACTTTGCTTATTAGCGTTGGTGAAATCATTTTCAGAATTGAGTCAATAGTTCCAAAACTCATCATTAATGGTACGAAGTTACTGATGATCGTTATAATATTATTAATATTGCAGACAGAGGTGATGATAATAATAATGAATCGTAGGGTTTTGTTAAACAAAGGTATAAACATAACATGGATAATACGTATTAGGAAATATTTTTTGGAAACTGTCTGGCGTAACTTTGCATTCCCTAAAGACACACTCCACTCAAGGGATGCTCATGTCACTCTGCTTTGATACTGATATATGTTTGATATCAGCATTATAGCGGTATGGTAGGGTTATGCCAGAATATGTATTCATCTGGTGAAATTTGCGTTTTATCAGGTTTATAGGTAAAGTACGATTGTCAGCAGTCTGGTCTGAGTGCAAAAAGTATAAATTATTAATTTCTACGTAACCAAGTATACAGAGTGACTGGTATCAACTCAACAAATATTTTTTATCGCGTATAAGTTAAATTAAAATATTTTAGATAAATAAAAATCATCATTTATTTTATTTTAACTGTTGAAATCAGAGGAGTCTTTACCAGAAACACTGTATATAAAAATTTGGCAGCCCTATGGTTTCATATTATGTGTAATAGAAAAGTATAAAGAATTTAAATATGCGTTAGTGAAAACGGTAAAAATGATAAAAAAATGCTATTTCAAGAACAATATTCAGCGTGATGCTAGGTCAAAATTATTGTCAAGTGAAAGGTGACGGGTTGGTGGTTCGGCAAACTAACGGCCTTAGAAAAGTTTCAGAACTTTCAATACGTTTCTTTCGTTCAAAACCAGTCGCTAGGATAATCTAAGGAAGAGGCCTGTGTTAAGTAGTTAAGTGGCGGACGACCTATAGATATTAATGAGCACGATAATTATACGGGAAACTGAAATTTTAACTAGGCTGTGTTAACTAAGTTCTAAGTGTTACGTGTAATCAAAGAAGCGTTGCGTTTAAAATACTAAAGGTGTGTTAAATTATAACCTTAATATTAAAATATTCAAGAATTATTGTAAGTTAAGAAAAGGTTTAATTGTTTTAAAGTGTCACAAAAGGTTTATAAACGGAGGTACAAAATTGAACATACAATGTTACGGTAATAATGGAGTGGAATTTGTGTATTAATATTAATCACTCATACTTACGGACGAATTTCTTTTAAAACGTGGTTATTGGTCTGCTGCTGTTCCCTTGTGGTTTTGAAATTAAAACTGTCGGGATACCTGCTCAACAAAACAAGGTTCATCGTAAAGTCGGAAACGAGAAGAATATTTTGGTGGGCTTGCATCACTGAAAGCTGACAACGTAGAGTTGTGTAGAGAAATGTGTAACGAAATGCGTGCGTTTGGGTATTTGAACAGGGTCTTACACACCACTTTTAGCGCATAAGTCCACTTTACACCAAGCGAAGTATAAAAATATAAATAATCACTAATGTAAATTATCTTGGAAGAGTTAAGTTTTAAAAAATCGTCAACTTGTTCGTGCATCGTCAAAATCCTGAGTTATAGTTTCGAATTTAAAACTGCGTGTTTGGAGTCCATTTATTTTAATTTTATTAGTTCATAGAATATAGAGAAACCGTAGCTGTTTTTGTAGTTAAAAAATACAACCTATCAGGTTTTCTGCGTTTATGAACATTAACGGTATAATTGAATAATATAGTTTATTTTGCATGTAAATAAATAAACGTTTCTAATTATGTTATTTTTGCTAGGTGGCGGTGGAGGATACGGAGGCGGGGACCGGGGGGGAAGTGATATGGTCACCCAGGAAGACACAGTCTTTATTCAAGGCATGAATCCTTCTACGACAGAAGATGAGTTATGTCAACACTTCGGGGCTATTGGCATAATTAAAGTAAGTTATCGTTTTTGAACTGAATGTGTTATTTTATTATACAGATATTCTTTTACTATTTTTCACTAAACTCTTTTCTTTACTTTTTATAGATTGACAAAAAAACACAGCGCCCGAAAGTATGGATGTACAAGGATAAATCCACCGGCCAACCCAAAGGCGAAGCGACCGTCACCTACGAAGATTCAAACGCCGCTTCATCGGCCATTCAGTGGTTCGACGGCAAAGACTTCAACGGCGCCACCATAAAGGTGTCGCTCGCTCAAAGACAAAACACCTGGGCCGGCGGTAAAGGTGGCGGCGGCGGCGGGTTCCGCGGGGGCAGAGGCGGCGGCGGCGGGCGCGGGGGCGGCGGCGGGCGCGGAGGAGGCGGCGGCGGCGGCCCGCCCTCCGGCAATCGCGAAGGCGACTGGAGATGCTCCAATCCTAGCTGCGGAAACACCAATTTCTCGTGGAGAAAGTCCTGCAATCGCTGCAACGAGGCGAAACCCGGTGAATCCGGAGGCGGGGCGCCGTCCGGTGGCGGCGGCGACCGTCGCGGCGGAGGCCCGCCCGGGCGCGGGGGTCGCGGGGGCGGCGGGCGCGGAGGGCCCGGCGGCGGCGGCGGCTCGTGGGGCGGGCGCGGCGGCTCGGACCGCGGAGGCGACCGCGGTGGCGACAGAAGAAGTTACGGCGGGAGCGGCGGAGGCGACCGCGGTAGCGGCGGTGGCGACCGCGGCAGCGGCGGTGCCATGAGGGGTGATGGCGGGTAATTTGAACGAAATTAATTTAAAAATATACTCGCATAATCACAAGCTTCACTAACGTTCCCTACCGTATGACAAATGATAGTTAAGAGCCGACCCACTACAAAATGAACACGAGTGTAGGTCAACGGCCTAGCATGCTCTCCTTATCATGCCAGTTCATATACTAAAAGCGGGTTCCAATTTCTAGCGTTCCATATCTACGTCGGCCGTTTGGTGTAGTGGTTCAGAACGGACTACTATGCCGAGAGGTCCCGGGTTCGATTCCCGGCCGGGCAGAAATTGAAATGATGAATTTTAATTTCTGTGACGGGTCTGGGTGTTACTATGTATAATATGTATGTATTTAAAAAAAAAGTATATAAGTAGTATATCCGTTAAGCTAGCACCCATAACACAAGCATATTAATTGCTTACTTTGGGGCTAGATGGCGCTGTGTGAGATTGTCCAAAGATATTTATTTATTATTATTTATTTATATCTCCGGTGGATCATTTCTCACGTACCGGGATCAAACCTTTCGATCGGGTTTTTAAACCTTTGTTTGTCACCTGTCATCCGCTTTGCAATGGAGGGAAGTCGAACCTTAATTTCGAACTCCTCCTATGTTCTTCTGATTAATTTCGTTGCGGGTCCAATGACAGTTTAACTTTCCCCCGGGACAAACTTGACCTTCATTGGTTGGGTTTTTGTGGCGGTCAAGCTGTAGACCCTGGCTACACAGGAGTTGCAGTGGTGGGAACGAGAGGTGGGAATAGTCCCGTACCGGGATCAAGCAGGCTTACAAATTGCGCGTACATAGTCGTGTAAGTCGGAAGTGTTAATTCATAACTCACGTTTTCTTTTCTTTTTGTTTCAGGGGCAGAGACCGCCAGAGACCGTATTAATTTTACGTAATGTAATGATTTATTGATAAAGCATTGAATTTGACATAAGTTGTAATTGTAATTTAGAAACAGAAGTTTAGATAGAACATTCAGTCCCACTCAGTAACATTTAGTGAGAAGCCACACGGTGCCGCATCACTGTACACATGTGGTATGCGGCGCCGCAATACGGCACCGTCTCGCTCAATCGAAGTGCGGTGTGCCTGCGGTGCGGCGCCAGAACGCACCGTCTGGCATATCATTGATTTTTATCGCCGCAGCGGCATCGCTCCGGCGCCGCGCCGCGACCGCATCGCACCGTGTGGCTTCTCCATTAGACTGGGTTGCACCATCTTACTTTATCTTTGACAAACGTCAAAAATCTGAAACTCCCATACAAAAAGCACCGGTTAACGTAATAGTTAGGTGGTGCAACTCTGCCTAATTATTACTCAAATTAGCATAGAAGAGTTATCATATTTTTCGTATTGATTAAACAGAAACGTTTCTGAGTGCAACCGTATAAAAACCGGTTTTTAATTAAATCTTCATTTTTTTAAATAACAGATAAGTAATGAATAACCTTTCTCGTTTTTTTAAACGTAAAACATGCAGAACTGAATTATTAACATAATATTTAATTAGGAACCGGTTAATATGTATTAGTTATATCGATGTATGGAAAAGTAAATGATGTTTATTGATATTTTATGACTGTTTGTAAGATTTATATAGCAAATCATTTCCATATTTTCTCAATACAATATGTAAAAGCATTTACTAGAATGATTGTTTGGTAAGTACTAGTAAAATAATGTTAAAACGTTTTTGTTGTTAATCACATGACTAACGATAAACATGATAAAAATAAACTAGACATCTTGTCTGTCTCTATATTTAAGTACGATTTGTTCAATGGTTTACTTTTGTGATTTTAGCAATACTTATTATTGTTAAATAGCAATGAATTTCTAAAATATCGTGTCGTGGTTTCTGTAATAAAAGTTTTAATATTAGACAAAAATCTGTTTTTATTGACTTGCTTTTTAGGGTTCCGTACCGAAAGGGTAAAAACGGTACCCTATTTAAGACTTCGCTGTCTGACAGTCACCACGCTGTATTTCATGAACCTTGATAACCTAGTGTTTAGACTTCAGAGCCTCTTATCACAAAACGAAGACGTAGTGTGTGAAGAAGAGGCGGAAACGTTGCGAACCCACAGCGTCTCCGCCGCGCTCCGGTTGGAAAACTTGTAATCTGCCAGTGTGACAAGGCCCTTACGCCCGTATTCACAAACATTACTATGGTCTCACAGTGCGCGTGGAGCAGCAACGCTATGCGAAGTCGAACGCATAGCGTTGATTAGAGCTCTGCGAATTGGTTCGTGTGTAACACTCCGCAACTCAAGTTTGTCTATGATGAGACGACTGCGGCCCCGCGGTAACAATTGATTTCTATTGTCTCGACTGATATTTAGAAGGGCTACATGAAGATGATGACATTCAAGCGATGCAGTGAGAGGCAGCACTGCTGCATGCAGCGGAGTTCTGAATCATCTTTATTTAGTACTGCTTCGAGACAGCCGGGCCGTGAGTTTAGGGGGCCCTGGGCTAAAGGTGGAAACACTGACAGACAGACAGACAAGAATTTTACTGATTGCATTTTTGGCATCAGTATCGATCACTAATCACCCCCTGATAGTTATTTTGAAAATATATTTCATGTATAGAATTCTGTCCGTCTGTATGTTCCTTATAGAAACAAAAACTACTCGACGGATTTTAACGAAACTTGGTACAATTATTCTTCATACACCTGGGCAGGTTATAGTATACTTAGGAATTCCCACGGGAACAGGAATTAGCGGGAAAATCCTTTTGTATGAAAAATCTAAACGCTTAACGGAAGTTAGACGCTTGAAATTTGGCATGTAGGTACCTTAGTAAACTCAAAGCTTAGTTACAACAAGGAATTCCCGAAATTTCCACAGGAATTAGCGGGAAAATCCTTTTGTATGAAAAATCTAAACCGCTTAAGTAGACCTGAAGTGATGCAGTGACCGCGCGCTCTCCGCCCTCTATCTCGAAAACGGTTCACCGTATAAAAAAAGTTTTTAAACAAAATTTGTAGAGAATTTAGTATTCTACAATATTGATAATAAATACAAATAGCAAAAAACCCACAGGAAATGAGACATTTCTAAAAAAAGCGCAATAAACCGATTTTTGTGACCGTTGACCTTGAAATTTAATAGTTGCTTACACCCTACCATATGTAGGTTTTGAGACAACTTTTAGGGTGTCAATATACACGTATTTACAGACTTACAGCTGGGTATCTCGAATTCCGAGGTGAACTTACTATAATGACTGGACTATGTACTCTTTCGCATTGTCGTCCGTCTATCTTTTTTGACTTAGCTGGGGGCCCTGGCCTGAAGCCCAAAAAGCCATATTTTTATGGTAGATCCGGCCCTGTCTCGAGATACCACTCATTGTCGGGAGGAGACTACACAGCGGCACTATTTACTGGTAAATTTTGAAATAAATAAAACATTCGTTCTATATTTTTAAGTACTTTAATTTGTTCTGGAAACAAATTATTTTCTATACTCTGTATATTTTTTCTTTGGTTCATAAATAAGAAATAAATTATTGCGTTTGAAATTAATACATAGTATAATTCTTTTTGACATGAAGGTGGCAGTGAGTATTTATCTTCTCTGGAAGCTGAATATCTTGATCAGCATGAAGCCCATGACCGTGGCCGCCGCCACGCCGATGCCGGCCTTCCACCACGATGAGTTATCCCCGCCGAGGCTGGCGAAGTGCTTCAAATGCCTATCGTAAATAAAATTCATTAGAATATTGTCTTGTCCAAACTGTATAAATTAGAAGAATGAACCGCAGGGTTACTCCCAAAACGCGGTACGTATAGATGACCCACGCTGAACTGTCCCACCAAACTCAATGACAGGGGGGCGCTACCATCGTACAACTATATGGTTTCCAACATGGCAAAAATCGGAACCAGCGATCCGGTACTGACGGTGGCGCCCCGCTGTCAATGTCATTGATAGGACAGTTCAGTATTTTGGAACTATAGTTTCGGGTCGATATGTATTCGTCGCTCATCATGCTGGCATCTCTCATTGCGTGAGAGGGAAGGCAACATTGTAACTTCGGATGTTTTTCGGAGTAACCCCACAGAATATATTTTAGTGTTTTTCCAAAATTTATAGTAACTACTTGAACTAAAGCTTACAAACGTCATATTACAATTCATTGCTTATTATAGGATTACTTACTTGTGCTTGCTGAATAAAATCCAAGCAGCTTGAAATTGACTGATAAAAACAATTAAAACAACAATGTGTGGACAATATAGGTAATTAGTATAAATGTCTTATGTTTTGAGGACAGATAAAAAAGGCATAATTGATTCTGAAGGTAGGTAATGAATTTTACTTTGTTAACATTACATAGGTATAATCGTTTCATCCACGAAGACGCGGCTCACCACTTTTTGGTTGAGGAAAGCGCGGGGAGTTTGATACCAGCAATCCGAGCGTCATTATTGTAGTGTGTGTGCGTGTGCACTCATGGATACTGTCATGTCTATGGATGACGTCTCCATGGAAAAATGATGGATTAGCGGAATGCTGTATTATTTAATAATTGGCGACGTTAGACATGGAAATAAATAAATTTAAACTACTTAATTAGAGCAGCCCTGAAGGGCAGCTTTACACGAACACAGAATATTGTAAGTACAGTGACTGAAATCTTCGGAGATTGAAGAGATTACGAAACTCCCCGCACCCCGCGCTTCCCTCGGTCAAAAAGTGGTGGGGCGCGTCTTTGTGGATGAAACGATCTATATCTGTAGGCGTAGTGTGAGTTTACATCAAACGTTGTTACTAGTTAGCGCGTAATAAAAACACATTTATGTATGACTGATTGTACAGCGCCCCTAGCGGAAACTTTCAAGAACAAACTTTAAACTTTCATATATTTTTTTAATGCGCTCACTAGTTTAACGTTTGATGGAAACACACAGCCCTCTGATATAAATATTGAGTGGCAAAATATCAGACAGTACTTACGGGAAGGCGGCCATGGTGGCCAGCTTGACGAACACGTCGTGCTTGTTCTCGCGCACGTGGAAGGTCTGCGGCGGCAGCAGCTGGTACTTGCAGCAGAACACGTCGGGCTGCAGGATGTACTCCTGGCGCGCGGGCAGCGGCTCGCCGCGCGTGCCCACTATCAGCACTGGAATGTGACTCTCGGCGAAGTATTTCTGGAAATAAATATTATGTTACGTCAGACATTTAAGGCTTCCACAGACCAAACGCGGGTCAGAAGCAGTGCGGGTCAGTTGCAGCGCGGCTGAGGCACACTGAAAGCAGCGCAGTTTCAAAGCAGTTGCAACGCGGGCGGTTGTCAAAATTTTAAATATTCGAAAACCGCTTTCCAGTGGCGTAGCTTGGGGGGGGCAGGGGGGGCCATGGCCCCGGGCGGCATATGAAAGGGGGCGGCGGATAAGAAAAAAAACATTAGCACGAAAAAAACATTAACAACAGCACGAAGAGTACATTTTTAATCTATTTTTTTAAGTAATAGTAACAAAAATATTTAAGGAGCTTACTTACCCCTCTAAAACTTGCGCCACAGATAAATCTTTCGTGATTTCTCTTGTTACAAACCGAAATAAAAAAGTGGTTTGTAAATAGTTAAAGCCATATCTAAGCTACTTTTAAAACCGTGTATTTATTATATTCTGCAAGTTCGAAATTCAAAATTAGCTAAAATGGTAACTTTTAGCAGTAATTAAATCTGTAAATTGCTGCAAATATCTAATGAATTCAAACAATTCTATGTATAATATGTATGTATTTACAAAAAAAAAAAAAAAAATCCATTCTTACTCCCATAAAATGTATGAAACTTGTGTCTGCTTTCTTCTTCTACTAATAGATAATTTTATTGGCTATCGCATGATACAAAATATTTGGCTATTAATGTTAAGCTACCCACGCTTTCACTTGTTTTTTAAAGAAGAGGTGTAAACTAAAAATTAAAAACTTAAATCGATGTAATTTTTCGAGAAATGGGTCAGGCCCCAAATTTGAAGTATTTTCATCGATAAAATTGTCCATAGATTACGCCCTTAAAGTTTGATCACTACATGCCCGGACACACTGTATAATTTAAGATAATATTTACTCTCAAGTCAATTGACAAATAAATACTTTAATACTTGTTATTATTGTTTATTGTTGTACACGTTAAAGTGTACATATGAAAATAGATGAAACTAGACCTATTTTTATCGACAAAAAAGAGGTCAAAAAATTTTTGAGATTTTTTTTTAATTTTTTATAAAAAAAATTTTCTTCCAATTACTTATTGTAAAGAAAACGTAATAACTTTTAAACTAAGCGGTATATCCTGATAAAATAAAAACAGTAATAATACTAAATAACAGGCGATACTAAAAAAATACATAAAAAGGCCAACAAATAATAAAAAATTATACATTTTGAAAAAAAAATGTGCTTAAAAATTCGTGTTTTTTTGGTTATTTGATAAATTTCTCCAAAAAATGCCCCTATAACCGGGGGTTTTTATTACTTTGTATTATTCTCTATCGTATTACCTTCGTAAAACCAAAAATCGCATGTCTCTATCCCTATCACAACGTTTGCAATGATCGCTTGAACTAAGCCTCTCCGGGCGCGCCAATCAACGCTTCGTTAACAACGAAACTGAAAATGGCTCTAGATTTGTAATTTTGATCAAGACAAGTTAGATTTCAAATAAAAACAAAAGATTTCGAAGTAAAATAAGCATTTTAGTTACAATTAAAATTGTCTCTACCTGTAGCGGAGAATAATGTTGTGGCAGGCCTTTGTTCAAACGATCATAGCAAATGTTGTGATAGGGATAGAGACATGCGATTTTTGGTTTTACAAAGATAATACGATAGAAAATAATACAAAGTAATAATAACAAATAAAATTCACCTCAATAAAAACCACCTGTTTGTTATAGGAGCATATTTTTGAGAAATTTATCAAATAACCAAAAAATACGAATTTTTAAGCAGATTTTTTTCAAAAAGTATCATTTTTTATTATTTGTTGGCATTTTCTGGGTATTTTATGTATTTTTTCAGTATCGTCTGTTATTTAGCATTATTACTGTTTTTATTTTATCAGGATATACCGCTCAGTTTAAAAGTTATTACGTTTTTTTTACAATAAGTAATTGGAAGAAAAAAAATTCTATAAAAAAATCAAAAAAAGTCTCAAAAAATTTTTGACCTCTTTTTTGTCGATAAAAATAGGTCTATTTTAATCTATTTTCATATGTACACTTTAACGTGACTCACACTGGTGTTACATAATAAAGCTGAGCTATTTAATAAAATCAAACTTCCTGTGGGTTTCAAGCAATTGCTTCTCTTCTCTTTAATGTATTTTCCTTCTGAAGCAGTGCGTGGTAGTTTATTTTGACTTTCAACAAATAAGGTGAATAGTGTACCTGAAGTCCATTCAATATAATATTTAAACTTTAAAATATTTATAATTAAAATAAAGGGCGGCGGATTTCCGGACGGCCCCGGGCGGCAAAAAGCCACGCTACGCCACTGCCGCTTTCAACGCTCTGCTACCGCCCTGCGTCCGGTGTGAGTGTGAAAGAGTTTCTTGTATTACAACTTGCGCGGGCCCGCATTCAAATGCGCTGCTACTGCCCCGCGTTTGGTCTGTGGAAGCCTTTAGTAGAAGAAGCAACAGGTAAGCCCTTTCTGGCAAATGATATAAATAAACCAAAGGAACAATTGATGATATAGATCGTTTCATCCAACCAGCAGTGGACGTTATTTGGCTGAAACGACACAAGCTTGAAAGTCCAGGTTTGATCGCGAAGACGCGATGACGATATGCACGCGTTTGGTGTGGTTGAAGCTTTACTGTTTGTACTAGCGATATGGACCTAAGAGTTATCATAACACTCACAATGTATATCCTGGCGATGTACTCGAAGGAGCGGCTGGCGGCCACGTCGTACACCAGGCAGGCCACGTCGCAGTTGACCTCGTGCGGCTGCAGCGGGTCGGACACGCGCGTGATGGGGATCTCGCGCAGCACCAGGTACTTCTCCTGCCCGTACACCGCCACCGTGTTGATGCAGCAGTGGTCGCTGCTGTTGCCGTCGCCGCGCTCGTGTGCGTGCGGCTTTATTTTCTGCAATTGTTTTTTTTTGTGAGAAGTTCGAGTTCAAACTGGCCGAATGGAAATACTGACACTATCTTTTATGCTTCAACCATACCAACGCGTGCGGATCGCCATCGCTAGCGCGATCATAAAGGCCAATGATAGGTCGCGCAGACTGTCATGGGTCGCGCAACCTGTCATTGGCATTGATCGCGTCGCCGCCGGCCGGCGTTGGTGTGGTTGAAATTTTGGACATTTTGACGCTGTGCGCTGTAAAGCCCGGATTCCATCAAGGCGGAACGGAGCAGAGAAGTGTTTTGAATAATCAGATTTCATTTTCCACATCTCTTCTCCGCTTCGCACCGCGCCGCCGCCGTTGTCAAATTCTTTTTAGGGTTCCGTACCTCAAAAGGAAAAAACGGAACCCTTATAGGATCACTTTGTTGTCCGTCCGTCCGTCTGTCAAGACCCTTTTTCTCAGGAACGCGTGGAGGTATGAAGCTGAAATTTATATCAATTACTCAGGTCTACTGTCCCTTGAAGCTGTGAAAAAATCAAACTTCTAAGCCAACGTAATCAAAAGATACAGCCGTTTATGCCGCAAATTTTTGACACCACAATATAAATTGGACGTCATCGCAACAAAACACAAAACACAGGGAATAGTGCATAAAAGCACATGATGTCATCCCTGGAAAAGACAAAACAAACGAGGCATGTATATAGGAGATACATAGCACTCAACAAAACAAAACAAAAACACAGAGATAATAAATATCTCTGGAAAAAAAAAAATTCTGAACTATAAGTCACAGAATAAAGCACCGAGGCAAAACTGTAGCAGATACCCGACAACTCGATTGTGTCCAAAAAAATTTTGCTAAAAGAATCTACCGTTAATAAATTCCTAACAGAAAACTACACAATACGATTGTGTCCAAAAAAAAAAATTTAGCTATAAAAGAATCTATTAAATTCCCAACAGAAAAACAATACACAATACGATTGTGTCCAAAAAAAAACTAAAAACTAAACTCAAGTTAGTTACCAAAGTAAAGTACCTACCTACCCAGAAAAAAGAAAATCTTAAGTCCTACGACCGAGAACCTTGGTATAACCACAATTTAAAAAAAAAACTTCCTCGAAGAAGGTAGCTTAATAAAATTATTTAAAAAAAAAACTAAGTGGCAAAAATATTTTCCAAAAGTTAAATGAAAATTAATCATTAATTTATACAAATTTAAGAGAATGGCACTTTACTAAAATTAATAACTTTTAATTGTTATCAAAACCAAAAAATAATCAATTAAGTTATTCCCGTATAAATATTAACAAGTTAGTAAGTGTACCCACAAACAACTTACTAACCAGTAATAACATTATGACATTAAGTACCAAACCTTATAATACACTGCAGTATAATGCCTAAATAACTATTAGGTATAACTGTATTAAATTATTTAAAAGTATTGAAATGTAAACAAATATTTGCCAAAAACTAAAAAGGTTATAATATTATGCTAACATTTTGTAATACAAAATAATGTGTACTAGGTAACAAGAAATAAAAGTTATAATTATGTCATAGTGACACAAAAGCAAATTGTTACCTAAGTACATAAACAACGTTAAAGATTTTAGTTAGCATTATGTAACAAAACATCCGGGTAGGCACTTTAAAATACATTTTATACATTATGTACTAACTTATTATGAGTACAAATGAATAAACACTAAAATTATAACTAAAACTGTGTTTGTCTTGTATGAAAAAACAAAATAATTAAAGTAAGTAACTAAAAGTTATAAGCTATAAAGCCCAAAAACAGTGTAGGTCTTAGATAAATATAACCTAACAAAAAAAATGTTACTTACTTGTCCCAACATAATATACAAAATAAGAGTTGCAACACAAAAAAATATGTAACCTAACATCATGTAAACTAACCTCATATAGAGTAGTACGCTCTGTTATAATGGTTAACATAATAATATGTAAAGGTTGACAACTTGAAAAAAATTATGTGGGCATCACAAATAAAATAAATTACAAAAAATAACAAGACAAACAACAGCACACACATGAGAGATTCCCTAATAAAAACATTTAACAACAAAATAGAAGTGTATGAGCGGATAGTCAGCACACAAAGTTGCTTCTCTTATTGGCTTTCCACCCATAAACTTCATAAAAAATAATGTGGCAATAATAAACATCAAAAGATGGGCGCCACTNAAAAAAACATTAGCACGAAAAAAACATTAACAACAGCACGAAGAGTACATTTTTAATCTATTTTTTTAAGTAATAGTAACAAAAATATTTAAGGAACTTACTTACCCCTCTAAAACTTACCACACAGATAATCTTTCGTGATTTCTCTTGTTACAAACCGAAATAAAAAAGTGGTTTGTAAATAGTTAAAGCCATATCTAAGCTACTTTTAAAATTATATTCTGCAACTTCGAAATTCAAAATTAGCTAAAATGGTAACTTTTAGCAGTAATTAAATCTGTAACTTGCTGCAAATATCTAATGAATTCAAACAATTATTTAAAATAATAGCTTTGATACATATTATACATTTTTCAAACCTCTTTTTTAATTTCGGTCTATAACAAAAGTAATCAAGAAAAAATATGGTGGCGCTGGTTAGCTAGGGTACAACCCTTAATAATATTAAGCACATATTTTATGTTATTCCTTCTAAGTTCAATGAGCACTATACAGTGTGTCCGGGCATGTAGTGATCAAACTTTAAGGGCGTAATCTATAGACAATTTTATCGACGAAAATACTTGGGGCTTGACCCATTTATCGTAAAATTACAAGGATTTAAGTTTTTAATTTTTAGTTTTCACCTCTTCCTTCAAAAATAAGTGAAAGCGTGGGTAGCTTAACATTAATAAGCAAATATTTTATATCATGCGATAGCCAATAAAATTATGTATTA